TATCTACCTCACCAGTGTATAGGAAAGAAACTAACATTGGCTAAATGAAAAATTATTAAATTATTTTGCGCTTACTCATGAACATAAGTCATAGAAAAATAGTGGATTTCTATTTCAATCCGTCTCATCGGTTGAAATGTTCCCCAATAGGCAGCCGCAGGCACCAAGTACTGTGCATCTAAAACACAAAGTTATACTATATGGCCAAAGGTTTGTGCACCCATTACATCACACCTATAAGATCTTGTTGCAAACCCTATTCCAAAACCATGGCGATAAATATGGAGTTACCCTACACACACTTTTAAGTCAAGTATTGACGTATCAGACCTGGCTTGTAATATGATTTCCAATTCATTCTAAAGGTGTCAGGTAGGATTGCAGGCTTTGTGCTCAGGGGTCATGCTGGAACCAAAAAAGGGCCCTCCCCAAACTATTGCCACAAGGGGTTGGAAGAGCACAATTGTCTACAATGTCTTTGTATGCTGTAGTATTAACAGCACTCTTCACTTGAAAGACTTGAATGCAATTATTTGGAGGAGGGGGGCACTTAATTTTGGCCATATAGTGTATGTAAAGCCAAAGCAATTCCTGATAATTTACAATGGCTTCCCATGCCTTGGACTGACCTGAATAAGATCAGAAATTTGACATTTCCTCCCGTGCGTGGCCAGATATTGTTTAAATTTTTTTGGCTTCAAATTGGTTTTTATTAACACCCTCTTCACATATTATTCAATTTAAATCCTATGTAGTTAATCTGTTCTGGGACATTACTCTGCAGAGGATTATTACAGGCTCTACATATACATGTAAATACTTAGAGGGTAACTGCTCCTCAGTGGCAATCAGCTTCTAATTTCTCTTCCACCAGATGAACCAGAAACCAGAGATGCCTGGTGGGCTGAAATTCGACAGGAGATTAAATCACACGCCAAGGCCCTGGGCTGCCATGCTGTAGTTGGATATAGTGAGTCCACCAGTATTTGGTGAGTGAATCACAATCAGGTAACATAAAACAGTTCAGCTGTATGTTTTTCTGCCTCCTCATAATTCTCATAATGTCCTCTGTGAACTCCTGAACCTCTTAATTTTCTGTTTGTTTCGAATGAGCAGTGCACATCAGTTGCGGTCTTATGCATTGTTCTGCACACGTCCCATAGTCACTAGTCCATCTCAGGAGCGAGCAAGAGAAGGTTGCTGCTTTCCTACATACGTTATGGTGGGACCGTGAAGAAACGTAGCCACCCTCTAACAGGAAATCATAGCAGCAAAAAAAAAAGGAATTTTTGGTGGTGGTGGTGTGGAGCAATAGAAGATGTTTTTTTTTTTTTTAAGTTAGGAATACATTTTTCAATAGATTTTTAAAATTTAAACCAGTGTTTAATTAATGTCACTTCGTGAGTTGCCTCACGGTTAGTGTGATTATATTGGATCCAAACTGCACTTCGTTGAAGTCCTGATTTTCCATACATTACACTGATGATTGCTGAAATCACATAACAGCTGTATGCAGCATGGATAAATAAATTGAATGAATGATAATATAAGACTATGTTTGCACTATACACCAGAGGTTCTGGATGTGCATCTGCATAGAGGGACGAAAAACAATTATTTGAATGGCTCTACCCTACTGTCCTGAAATGAGGAATAAATCTGCTTAGGCTTTATGCATATAGGGCTTTGGTTAATTCCTTTGAATGTCTTAAAAAAACACAAAAAAACACATCTAAAGCCGCATATTGCACACACGTTTAGGCTCGTTAATGTGTTCCATTGGCTAGAATATGGAATACATTAATGCTCAAACATGCTAAAATGCGTCTAGCGTTTATGCACCTTAAGCTTTTTTTCTGCTGTTCAGTCTTGTCCTGAATGCTCTTTTGATGGGGTATTTTTTTTCAATCTGAAAACGCTTCTCTTCTAATATGCCTGTAAATGCCTATGTGTGCACGAGTACATAGACTCACACAGATGTTCTTTTACACGCTGAAAAAAAAAAACATTAAATGCCTGTAAAAGTGAAGTACAGAGTGCAGGAGGCCTTATTTTTGGGATATGTGATGGATTGATATATATAAATAGCTTCTAATTTAAGATTTTTGTATAAAGCCATAACTGGCCAAATGTTGTCTTTTATCTTTTCTCTGAGATCCACTTTAGTAATTGTTATTATCCTGCTGAGATTTCCCTGACATGGGGTTTTCTGTTCCCCTCTTTCTCTTCACAGTGAGGAAGTCTGCATCCTTTCGGCCTCGGGTACCGCCTCCGTCCTGAACCCCCGCTTCCTACAGGACGCAGCCAGCGAATGCTGTTTGGAACAAAGGTTGTCCGCCCAACCTGGATTCTTTATAGGGTCAGACAAGGCAGACTTTGATTATTTCCCACAAAGCAAGGATAGTGCTCTTCGTATAGGGTAGGTAGGGTGGATTGCGGCCGGGGCACTTCATACCTTGTGTCACTAACACCGGCAGAGGTAACGCCTCGCTACATTTAGATCGTGCGCACCGTTTAAAGGGGCAGTCCCAGGCTCAAATATCAGTCTTTTCAAAGTCAGGTGCAGGTTAGTCTATGTGCTTCTCACATCATGTGAGCTTAATCTAAATTGAAGTGTTCACATTTTTTTTTATGTAAATCAAGTTTTAAATATATTAAAACAAAGCAAAAGTATCAATTCCAATTTCCACAAATACTCGAAATAGAAATGTCTTGCAATATTAAAAGTTATGTTTAAAAAAAAAAAAAAACTCACTTTGTAGTTTACACTTGGATTCTAAACTGACAGCCAAATTTACAACTGAAATAGATATATACAGTTATAAATCAGCTATATGGCCTTACTGCTGGTTTTTTTGTAACGCTTATTTTTACAGCACATCTAAACAAATGTTCTTAGGGGAGTCCTGAAGCAAGCAAAATCCTGATTCATCCACTGAATAGACAAAAACTTTACTACAAGAAGGCGAGCCAGGTTACATGTTAGTTATGTGACCCAGCACCCCTTCTATCACAGAGTTTTTTCCACACTATGGCTGGGGTGGAGTGACCATTTGGAAACTTGGGCACTGCCCGAGAGCTCGGGGTCAGTAGGGGGCCCCATGAGATGCCCCTGGTACCTTTTTCATAGGCTTTTTTGAGTTTGGGCAAGGACACGGGCCCCATGATCCCCTATTGTTCGGGGACCCCATGAGTTGTCAGTCCACCCATGCACTGTGGCCTGCATTTTCTAAATGAAGCTTAAAAGGGGAACTTCCACCTTCCAGTGAAAAAAACAGTGCAGGTGCCTGATACCTTGTCTGCTCTTTTTTTATGTTGAAAAAATATGCTTACAAGCCCAGCAGATCCAGTGTTGTCTTTTTCACTTGCACTGCTCTGCTACTACATGTCTGGTCCCATGCTGCTGCACTTGTTTTGTATGTCATGGCTCTTTCTTCCTGGCACTTGCAGCCTGCCCCCTAATGACATGGTGCCAGATCTTATACATTCAGAGGCAAAGATCTGGTGCTGTGTTGTTTACATGGTGCTGTGTTGTTTACATGTTGCCATCTTGTGAAATATTGCAGGGTGTTAGGGATGGTGGATAGTAATGTCTCCTGGGATAAGTGATGTAGGTATCCCAGAAGGCAAAATGAGGAAGTAGGAGGACACTAGCACACAAGTGGGGAAAAAAGAAATCTATAATCCATAAAAAGAGAAATCTGTCAGCGTTTTGGTATAGGTAGAGGAATGACATGAACAGTTCTTTCATTGTTACTGGAGAGTCCGCTTTAAATGAAGGTTTAGTGTGGCACACACACTGCGGTGTTCAGCGGATAGTGGTACCCTTCTCTATGTTAGACACGAGCCCTTTATAATAAAAAGACTTACCAAAGTGTTGTTTTATTGATGCAGTTCAACCAATGCTATGATCCAGGCATACCTGCCAGACAGCACAGCTATATACTGGACCTATCTGCAGATTACCTTGGAGTAGTACACCCTGGTTCAGGACCCCTCACCAGCCTGTAAATAGACAACAAAGTAGCTGAGTATATTGATAAGGTTTTTTCCTGTATTGATGCAGGGAGGATGGTAGTGCTGATGCTATTGGAGAAAGGTCTGTAGAAACGTTTTAGCAACTTTATACGATGCTTGCTTTATAGGTCATTAGTACATATTTTAGGGATATTTACAGTTTACAGACCCAAAGCAAGGCTCACTTTCAAGTAAAATATAAAGTACATTTACACTGGGTGCCTCCATAACTGTTATGCTTTCTGAGCATTAAAACACAATGTTTTCAGCTTTAAGGGGCTAGCACAAGCCTGGCCAGTCTCTCTTCAGCTCTTGAGGAGGGTCTGTGAATTGTTATAGAATGGACATTGGCAGCTAATGGTTTAAAAAAAGTTTTTTGTTTTTTTTTTTTTTTTTTTAGGGGTTTATTGTCTGCTGTGATTGTTCAGAAATATTGAATATAGATTTAAATTTCCATACACAAAACTGTCTTTATCATTTTAAACTTATACATTTTTTTTATTTATTTTTTTTTACAATAGTAAACCTTTATGGGGACAGGGGCTCAGCTAATTTTCAGCTAATTCTCACCTAAACCGAGTGAATGTACACAAGATTTTTGTCAATAAAGCTGAGGGTAACTGATACCTTTTTCATTAAAGGTTGCAAGGTTTTAAAGCTGTTGGAGCTTAGTGTGATGGGACTGTCCTTTTAAACTTCATAGATGGCCTAATAGCACAACAATTCTAACCCGAGTGGGGTGGGAGAACAAAAAAAAAGTCACCTTATAATCCCATCCTATCACAGCCTGCTTGACACAGTATGTGTGTGTGTTTTTTTTTTTTTACCTTTTTCTTAATCTTTTAACACAAATAGCAACATTGAAAATTTCCAGAATAAAGTCGGAGGATATTGGCTGCTCTTTCTGTAAAGAAATACTAGAAAATATTCTTCTTGCTTTGAAGTGATTCCATGACTCTCTGATATGTAGGGTGGACGAAGTGTCTTCAACGGGCTGCGGGTTTTGTCACATCCCCTATGATGAACTGAACATGCCGTTTCCAGCTCACCTTACCTTCTGCTACAGCTGCCGCAAGCAGAAAGTCCCTGATGTTCTTTTCACCTCTATAGATCTTCCCAGTGATGCTCCTGTGGTGGGGAAAGGCTGTCTGATCCAAGCCAGGTATGGGTACTCCCTTCCACTGAAGTTTGTAACCTGAAGAGATTGTTAACGTCTACTAGAAAATCAACACAAAGCGAATTTACTGGAGGTGGCCTGATTTTTGCATCCATCCCTGTAATTCTGAAAGTGACAATGGCCAAAGTCATAAATTAGAGTAAAATGTAAAGCTAGAACTTTTTTGTAGTTTTGTCACAACTTAGAGGGGGATTTGCTCTCCGCTCCATCCATCCTAATGAGGCAACAGGAATGTCCCCTACAGGACACAGAAAATTAACTGGCAGAGGTTTAAGCCTGTCTATAATCCATCCAAAGCTGAAAACTATTTTGGCTATGCATACACTGTATAGTATATTTTTAGTGAGCACATATTTTGGGTTGTTATTGCAGTGTTTTTCATATACTATCTGGCATAACTTCAGCTTTTTTACAAGCTTGTCCTTCCATATTTTTATTATTGTTTTCAATGTAGAGATGATAAGATTAGCCTCTTGAGGGAGCCCTGTATTTCTTACTGCATTCACATAGATTCCCATTTTGTCAGCTGTTAAAATACATTATCATCAGCCAATTCATTGTTTTCAGTTAGTCAGCCAAGACTTAAGCCAGCCATGGATAGATTGAATCTCGGCCGGATTATCAGGGACTTCAGTATAATCAGCCTGTCTGACTTTTTGCCTGCAGTTACTTCCAGCGTCTATAGCAACCAGCAATGATCATTGTGTTCTGTCTACAGGGAAGGCTCCCTGCTGGCAGAATACAATAGCGATGTGGGAGGGATTCCCCCATCAACACTGACTGTTTTGATTGAGGGAATGGAGCAATTTGTTTTTCCTTCCACCTGTGGTGAAAAGAAAATTGTATCATATATGGCTTGCCTTAGGCTGGCCATACACTATTAGATTTTTTCATTCTACCTGCTGGTAGAATCTTAACAGATTCCCTCATTCACACTATGTAGGACAAATGGCCGAATCTCCTGCTGTGCCTGTTGCATTCTGGCAGCCATCACAGATGCTTTAAAATACTCTGTCCAGCACCTTTGATTTTTCATTTGAAGCTTGTTGGGCGGGAGGGGGCTGATAAGGCAACCTATGTAGCAAATTTGTATAGTATGGCCAGCTTTACATTGTCTCACACAGTAGCTGCGTTCAGCTAGTATTGTTCCTAAATACACAATAAGGGTAGCTCCTGATCAGGTGATTGCTTTGGTGACATTAATTTTTAATTTTTTTTTTAATCTCTGTATATAGTGCTTTACTGCCTTTTTTTAATCTCCTGGTCAGGTTGTGTCGACTGAAGAAGAAAGCTCAGGCGGAAGCAAATGCCACGGCAATCAGCAACCTTCTGCCTTTCATGGAGTATGAACTGCACACACAGCTCATGAACAAACTCAAGCTGAAGGGAATGAACTCTCTTTTTGGTCTGAGGATACAAATAACTGTTGGGGAGACCATGCTGCTGGGACTGGCAGTAAGTCCCCCCTGAAATCTGTCACTAATTAGGAGGCAGAGCTTACACCAAGAGTGTGGAGCTTTGTAAATCGGCAACGTTATTTATTGAATGCTCAGGGATGTCATAATAGAATTTGGGGTACTTATGAATGGCTTAATATTTGTGTGATACAGGGGGGCCTCTATAGACAAAGTCCAGTTCTAACACCTCCATACATCTGCCCTAAACTGTTTATTTTGCTTGTTAACCACTTGACCTCCAGAGGATTTACCCCCCTTAATGACCAGGCCTCTTTTTGCTACTTGGTGCTGCACTAATTCAACTGATAATTGCGCGGTCATGCAACACTGCACCCAAACGAAATTTATGTCCTTTTTTTCACACAAATAGAGCTTTCTTTCGGTGGTATTTGATCATCTGTGCACTTTTTATTTTTCACGCTATAAACATAAAAAGGCCAAAAATTTTGAAGAAAAACAATATTTTTTACTTTCAGCTATAAAAAATATATAGTAAACTCAAAGTTGGTTATAAATTTAGGCCAAAATGTATTCTGCTGCATGTTTTTGGTAAAAAAAAATCCCAATGAGTGTATATTGATTGCTTTGTGTGGAAGTTATAGCGTCTACAAACTATGGTATAGATACTGCAATTTACGGCATTTTTCTGCTATACAGCGCTGCGCTAGTTTAACGAACAATTGCGCGGTCATGCAATACGGTACATAAATGAAATTTACATCCTTTTTTTTCCCCACAAATTGAGCTTTCTTTTGGTGGTATTTGATCGCCTGTGCGGGTTTTTTTATTTTTTGCGCGCTAAAAAAAAAGGCTGACGATTTTGAGGAAATAAAAACAATATTTTGGACTTTTTGCTATAAATGTCCAGTAAAAAAAAATGCAAAAAAAAAATTTAGTCATAAATTTCTGCCAAAATGCATTCTGCGACATGTCTTTGCTAAAAAAAAACCCAATACGTGTAAATTAATTGGTTTACGTGAAAGTTATAGCGTTTACAAATGGCGGGAAAGATACTGGGATTTTTAGGTTTTTTTTTATACTAATAATGGTGACGATCAGCGAATTATGGCGGCGATCAGGGACTTATGGCAGCGACCAGCGACTTATGGCGGGACTGCGGCGGACATTCTGACATTGGGGGGTACTGACTTGGGGTCACTGACATCCCCAAAAACACTAATACAGTGATCAGTGCAAAAAAAAAAAAAACACTGACACTACTAATGGCAATGGGGAGGAAGGGGTTAACTTTATTTTGCAGGGAAGGGTTATAGGAGTGAGGGGAGTGTTTTACTAGGGGGCGGGGGTGTGTACTGGGCGGGACAAGGCTGATCGAGAAAGAGAAACTGTTCTTTCTCGATCAGCTCATCCTCGAGCAGACAGGAAAGTGACAGACAGCACAGCTACTGCAGCTGTGCTGTCTGTCACTGTTTGCCGCCGATCGCCGGAACATAGCCGCTAACGAGCGGCTGTGACCCGGCGACTGACATCTGCGGCGGTGATTCGCGGGACAAATAGGACGACGGCGCGCCCCCCCTATTTGTTTACAAAACACACGTCTTAAAATGTGGTTTTGCCTGTGAGTGCCGCCCTGCCGCCGTATATGTACAGTGGCTGGGCGGCATGCGGTTAATTGTATCTGGACAAATGTTATCAGACTTCCAATATTTAATTTTCTCCCTGGCCAAATACTTTATTTACAAAGTTGAAGGGGCAGATTACATTTAATTTGCTCTGTACATTGTGTATCACACACAGTTGTCCTTTGTTTCACTTCTGTGATTATTCTGATTTATGGCAGCTGTTAGAATATCAAACCGTTTTCAGATCTTTTGTTGATGGTAACTGAAATCATGCATGTACCTGTCAGTAGAACTAGGACAAACAGCCATAAGAATAATTATAACTGTTGGTAGCAGTAAATACTACAGAATTACTTCTCTGTGCATCCTGGGAACCCCTAAACACAGTATACAAATATTGACTTGAGCTTTTAGCCAGGCTCTATGCCAGCCCTCTGCATTTCACAGTGCCATAAAGGCACCTCAGCAACTTATTAAGATGTGTGCATATCTTAGTATAGGACATTTTGACAAAGGTACACACTGAATTTATAAAGGAAGCATTTTGATAAGATCATGGCATGTTCAGCACTTTGTGGACCCTTTTTTGTTTTTTTTTTATGTCAGGATCTGTATAATTTTGTTTTTTTAAATCATGTTATTTTTAGTCTGCTACAGGGGTCTACCTGAGTGCTTTACCAACCCCTGGAGGGATTCAGATCGCCGGCAAGACCCCCAATGATGGATCCTACGAGCAACACGTCTCACATATGCAGAAAAAGATCAATGAAACAATTGCCAAAAACAAAGAACTTTATGAAATTAATCCTCCGGTATGTGATCTGGGGTGTGGCAGGGTTAAAGTAATTGTAAACATTCATATTTTTATTTTATTTTTTTTAAAAAACATGACATTCTTACCTGCTCTGTGCAAGGGTTTTGCACACAGCAGCCTCCATCCTACTCTTCCATGGACAGACAGAGCGTGACTTGGCCCCACCCCCGCTCCCTCCTCACTGACTGTGATTGACAATGGCTCCCGCTGCTGTATCTGAGCCAGTGAGGAGAAGGAAAGAGAGACTCTGCTCTTGTGCACATTGCTGTATCAAGATCAGGCGCAGGTAAGAAGGTTGTGGGGGGGGAGCTGCATACTGAAGTTTTTTTCTATCTTAATGCAGAAAATGCATTAAGATAAAACAGCCTTCACTCTTTAGAACCACTTTAAGTATTGGCGCCTCTGCTATTTTTCTGTATGGTGTGTGCGACTTTAGGCCTCATGCACACTAGATGTTAGGCCATCTCTCATAGATGCCTTTCCTCCTGCCAGCAGCAGAAAACAAAATGCTGCTGTTCATGGATGGCGCTGGGTGTGGGTTTTTTTCTGCCTCTAAACACCAGGGGGATTAGAGGGGCATTTAGAGGCAGAAAGAAAAATGCCAGATGCCCCTACTAGAGAAATTAATATTAAAAAATTAGACAAGATGACAGAGCATTAAACACAAAAACATATGGAACCCAGAGTAAAGGAACCACCCCTCACCAACATTTTAGGTACAAAATGTGGGTGTAAACGATGTAAAGCTGGACATTAGCCTTTCCTTTTTCCCTACACGTATAGCAAGTGTTGAAATGTATTGCTCTCGATTCCCTGTAAACTTGCATCTCCATAATATACCTTTAAGCCTTTATTTCCTGTCTGAACAACTTTAACGATTATCATACTCCTCTCTTTTTGACTTATACTGTTGTTGGCTTGCCATGTGTAAGCATAATCTTTTGGGTTGGTACTGTACTGCTGTTCCCTAGCATTATATGAAAGAACACATCTTCGACATTCCTTTGGATGTGCATCCCTGTTAACCACTGGGTACTGAAGACTTTAAAGTTGGTTGTAACAATTACATATACCTACTGCAGTGACAAGCTTCAGGTGATACACAGAGGTGAAGCAAATCTTCCTAAATAAGATCTACCTGTTTATTCGCCACCCTATCTTCTCTACAGCCTTCTAAATACACAGATCAAAGTCTATCTCCCAGCTCCAGCAGGCAGGGGGCAGGAATCTGACATCACACTATGCACAGCGTAGAGCAGGGAGTTGAGTTTAATCTGAGACCTCCTTCTGTGAGGGCGAAGGGTCATGGTGGGGCCATTTCCTGAGATTCTGTGGTTTCGGGATAACCTGTCAGCAGTGACTAATGGAGATAGCAGAGGGAAAAAAGAGGAGACGGAAATCACACTTGGTGCTTTGGATTGAGGCTAGTATACACTATAGAGATGGATAGACTCTGTTCGTTTTTCATTTCAGAGGTTTACAGCCTCTTTAATGTGCAGTCTGCTGAGTACTCTATTAGAGTGTTTTCAATAAACTGATCAGCAGAATGCATATCTAAAGTCTGCTTCACCCAATAGCCAGCAGGAATGCATATCTAAAGGAATGCCAGGGATGTGACCCCCCTCACCCATGAAACTCAATCTTGCTATGGAGCAAAGGCCAGCAGACACTCTGTGACTACATCATTGGGTCTCAAAAGAGGTAATTCTTGAAAAAAATTAATTTGTTGGAAAAATTGCATGTTCACTGGGGGTGATTTGCTACAAATAAATGCAGTGAATTTCTCATCTGTTTTGAAAGTGCTTTTCTTTTGCTGTCTGCTGCAATATGTGTTGAAAGGCTGTCTGCAGATAGGAAATGCTGAAATTTCCACTGACTGGTCTCCCTAATGCCCGCTTGTTCACTGAAGTTGAAGTTCAGGCAGCGCTGATACCATGAAGCCAGTTCTGCCTTAACTAAAAAGAACACCTGTGCAGAGTGCTGGGGCTCTCACTACCCCAGTTATGCCCTCTAGCACTTTACTCTGCCATGCATTGCTTTGCATACACACCCAAAAGCCCACCCACACCATATGTGTGAAAGCTGAAGGCTGTTGATAGTTTTAGCTCTGCAGGACACCCTATATGAATAGGGTATAACAAAGCACGCCCTGCACAGCTCTTCTCCAGGTGACTGCAGAACACAACACTGATGCTGTAACTGGTGATTACAGTACACAGACTTACTGAGAAAGGTACAGCTAAAATGAGGGCTTATGTAGAGGTAGTTTTTTTTTTTTTTCTTTTTTTTTTTTTAATGCTAGCAGCCTTGCTTTAACAGCCCTGCAGCTAATTCTGATTTATCTGCCATTACATGTTTTTTTTTTTTTTAAGGAAATATTGGATGAGGTAGTCGGATCGCCAATCCCAGAACCGCGGCAGCGAACAAGACTCCTGCGGTCACAGTCAGAGAGTTCAGACGAAGTCATTGAGCTGGATCTTTCACATGGGAAGAAGGACGCTTTTGTGCTAGAGGTAAAATTAGAGATTGTCCTTTTAGTTATATGGTGTTCAACAAAGGTAAGCATCCTGTGAGAGATGGAGACATTCTTTAAAGAGACACTATCACCTTGCCCATGTATGGCAAAGTGACAATAACTTTGCAAAGGACCCCTTGGACCCCTTATAATTACACCACCTGCATTCCCAATAAGAGTAATAGCAGTAACATTTCAGTTGTACTTTCTATTCCCATCAAATTCTTTGATGGAAGTTGTCTTTTGGAATACTGGGCAGCCTAGGCAATGAATAAAAAGGCTGGGCCAAAGAAAGTCAGACTGGAGAGGAAAGCGCTACATGATGCTGCATGTCCTTCAGACAGAAAATGGGACGGGGTCTTTCTGACATGCTACATGCTACTTATGCACGTTATGAAAAACTCAGTGTGCAAATAAGCTTTTACAGCTGTGCAAGACTGAAGATTGTATATTAGCTTAAAAGATGAACTCCCAACAATGGATGATTTATACATAGTTACAATGGTCAAGCTTGGACCAATATAACTATGTATATACTATACTTAGCTAATGCCCCTGGAAGCTGGAAATCACTGAAGTATACGTCGCTGCTCCAGTGATCTCCACTTGATTCTGGGTTCAGTGCTGAGCCTCTGGCTTGCTTGGATTGTGAACACAGGAGGTCAGCCATTCAGCATGAGCAGCATTCAGAAAATGGTATGCATTCTCTGAATGAATGAAAAGCTTTCTCTGATTGGACAAGATGTAGAGTCTGATGTCACTGCCAAGCCTCTCCACCTTGTCCGAACAGAGAATGCTTTTCCTTCATTCAGACAATTCAAAGGATTCTCTAAATGGTGCCTGTGCTAAGCAGCTGGGCTCCTGTGGGACCCAGAAGCAAGTGGACATCACTGGAGTAGTGGTGTCTACTTCAGTGACTTCCAGCTTCCAGGAGCATCAGCCAAGTATGGTATATACATTGCTAAATTTGTCCAAGCTGGATCAATGTAACTATGTAAAAATATACCACACCTGGAACTCATCTTTAAAGTTTGGCACTTTAAGAAAATCTCTCCTTCACAGAACCCTCCTTTGAATAATGGGTACACTTTTATTTAGCCTGCACTTTAATAGTATAGACTCTTTACTATAAGTAGGGCTCATATGTGCTTGTTGTACCATGTATTTGTGTTACAATGTATTCTGTTCTCTTTGTATTGCTTCCTTTATATAAAATACCCGGTGTTCCTGCCAGTCCCCCTGCTTTCCTATTTCGGACTGACTACACTAGGGATGAAAGCACATCCATCCCACCATAGTCTGTTTTCTGGCTGTGTTGGAAGCACAGCCTGCTTATCCTTTAATGATCAGACTTGTGCTGGCATGCTCCCCCCAACACCCCCCCCCCCCCAACTGCCATTCACTGGAAAGATCAGTATACTGCTCATTAGAACTAATGGCACCCACCCGTGGGTCCGCGGTCCTTGGTGCGGGTGCAACTTTTTCATATTCCCAAAGATGAAGAAGGGTTTGAAAGGACACCATTCTGGTAGTGTGGATATTGTCCAAAGAGCTCTGAACACCATCCCACTTGAAAACTTCCAGAGATGCTATGAAGAATGAAAAAATCGCTGCAAGCATTGTGTACACTCACAAGGTGCATACTTCAAAGGAGATAATGTTCAATTGTAAAATGTTTCAATAAAAGAATTATTAAAATATCATTCTCATTACTTTATGGTCACACCGTGTGTGTGTGTGTACATACATATATACTCACACACAGACAATGTTTTGCCTTGCATTTCTGTTTTAAAATGAATAGGTTTTTTATAACAAGTTAACGGTTTACAAAAACTTTAGAGGACTCCTGATGGTAGTCTCCAAAGATCCTCTGCATTGGTTGAGACCACACGACTGGTGCCTCAGCATCGGTACATGGCCAGGCACCAGTAGAATGCAGAATAGGCATAATTACATTTTCCAGATAAAATTAAGCCTGAATTTTAAAATAAAATGTTGGTAGTTTGTCAGTACAGCTCCAGTTCAGATGACTCCATCCTACAATTACTACAGCCATTCCTGTTCCTCTTCTTTCCAATCCTATATTCTTATTTTTTCTCAGAATCGTCTTTCCACCACAGCTTAAAATTCACTATCTGGACTCCTGGCTATCTCGCTGGACATCCTATTCCTTAACCATGGCCATTAGATTTTTGATAGGCATGTTCAAGATTTTGGTGTTTCTGTGAATGTATGCTAATTTGTGAGATCAGGTACTGATGTTTGATGAGAATATCTGGTTACAGTCAGCATTCTAGTTCATTTACGGGTGTTCAATAGAGTTGAGGTCAGGGCTCTATGCAGGCCACTCAAGTTCCTCCACAACAAACTAGTCAAACCATTCCTTTATGGAGCTGGCTTCGTACATAGGGACACAGTCATTGCTGGAATAGAAAAGGACATTCCCCAAGCTGTTACCACAAGATTGGATGTGCACATTTATATAAAATGTCTTTATATGTTGTACCATTAACAGTGCCCTTCCTGGAAATACCTGAAATTTATCACTAGGAGGTGTCCGTGTACATAAATAGATATAGACATAGTGTAGATGTCATGGTTAGTTGTCCACGGATACTTTTTCATATGATTTATACAGCTGTCATTTTTCATTTTCATCATATTCTCCACCTGCTGGATACCACTTTTGTGTCCTATTTAAACTGTTGATGAAAGTTCCAACAAATACAGATTATGTAAAGTCAGAGACTGATTACCAAAACTGCTGGAACTGCAACAATTTGGCACCAACAGCCCTTATTTTAGTACAATTGGTACCAAAATGTTGATGGGATTTATTTAAAAGCTGACCTCTTGAACCTTAAGGACAACATTTTTAAGCCTCCACAGGGCTGTTAATAACATATTACAACATCCACAAGACAGATACACTTACAACTTCACAGTCTTCCGTGATTACTCTCACCCTTCAGCATTTTTACATTCCTTATTAGCAGTTTTACATAAAAATAAGATCCAGTTGTCTTGTATGCTGATCAAGTGGTGGGGTTCTGGCAGATACTCAACACATAAGCCAATAAACGCATTTCTTTAGGTTTTATGAAAGTATATTAACATCAAGGCCACGTCCACACCATACGTGCAGAAAAACTGATGGAAATTTGCACGCAGATTTCAGTTGCAGCGACATTAGTTTTCATGCACGCTTCAATTAGCTTTATAAATGTTGCAGATTCCTGCACAGAAAAAAAATGCACATGATACCAGTGTTGTGGTGTGAACAGAGCACATAGAAAGTAATTGATTTTGTGCCCTTGCAGAACGCATAGAGAAAAACTGATGTCTCTGCACCGTACTGTTAACGAGCCTTAAAAATAAAATGGAAAAAACATTTTTATTTCATTACCATAGCATTAACATATGCAAAATTAACAACATTTGTCATTATATAGTTACATCATATGTACATATCAACACACATTCAAGCCTGGTAGAGGCCTAGAAATGTTGTGAAGGAACTAAGGATCACATTTTTAATAACAATAATAAGTTACTAAGCTTTTTTTTTTTATACATTGTGTTTCAAACTTATATTGGCATCCTAAAAGTCCCAACGTTTTGGTACCATATGTAAATGTAAAGATTTTATAAGCTTTTTGTTTTTTGTATTTATTTTTTTTATCCCACACTCAGACTTGCATGTTTATTTCCTTTCAGATCGATGACACAGATGCAGTGGAAGATGTACATTCGCTCCTTACAGATGTGCCACCCCCGCCAGGTGAAACACTAGCCATGTCATCCAAAATGTATTTATCTATTTTAAATGAAGTGGAGCAGATTTTCTCATTCTTCAGAACTGAATGTGTGTTATATTTCTATGGGTACTCCATTATGAAATACTTATGTATATTTGCACATTCCCTGGAGGAGAGATTGATGCAAACAGAATTAATTTATCTTTCGCCTCTAGTTGATGCTTTGTAAACATACATGTACAAACTGAACCAGTGACAAAACCAAAGTCTTAGCCACAACCATGCAGAGGGTTGAAAGAGAGCTCACTGGATTTTTCGATAGTATTAAAGACCTGGGGGATGAAACAAACCAATGAGTATATATTTCTGTTCATGAACCATACAGACCCCTGATTAACCCCAATGTCCTCTTTGCAGGATTTTTTAGCTGCAACACAGAGATTATGCCTGGGATCAACAACTGGACCTCTGATATCCAGGTGATTATCTCTTCTTCTTTTGAGTTATCTTTCCTGATTGTTGTCATTACTGAGCTGGATGCTTAAGGTGTACTGGTGTTGTGTCTGGACTGTGCACTCATGTTTAAAATGTGATGTGTAATTCATGTTTGTTCCACCATGTCCTTTCTCCAACTGATATTTGAATGGGAGGATCAGCTTTTCATTATCACCCACTAACCAGTCCCAGTGTTACAATAGCTGTAGCATCTGTATCTCTTCATGCCATAAAATTGATCTGTTGTTGCAGGGAATGCCTGTAATGACTTGAAGCTCAGTTCAGTTTTTTAGGGAAACCTGAGAGCCAATTACACAAGCAAGACATGACATTTCTAAGGGTGTGTTGTACATACACAATCTAAATGACATCTCTGTTTTGCTCAATGCAAGATAACGTTTCAATTCTGTTACAGTTTTAAAAATCGCAGGGGCTGCAGACTGAATTATAAATTTAATTTGCTAAAACATTCAACTAAAAATAGTTTTATTGTAATTATAATATTTGAGTGAATATGACGTTTCCCTTTAGAATAGTAAAAGGTGTACTCACTCTTAATGTCCTTTTTCAGATGTTCACATCAGTTAGGGTTGTCAGAACCAGCAGCATGAATCTAACCAATCAGACCCTGAACAAGAGTTTCAACGATATGTGCGAGAATCTCTTAAAGGTGTGATGTCATTATTTACCCCGTCTTTCACTCATGACTTATCCCCCCATGCCATTCTCTCCTCCTTTTACTCTGTCGCTCATCTTTCCCTCTTTCCCTTTCCTTTTCCTTCCCTTTCCCTCTGCCTTTTTCCCTCTCCTTTTCTCTTTCTTTCCCCTCTCCTTTCTCTTTTCCTTTTCCCCTCTCCTTTCTCTTTTCCTTTCTCCTCTCCCTTCTCTTTTCCTTTCTCCTCTCCCTTTCCCTTTTCCTTTTCCTCTCCTTCCTCTTTTCCTTTCCCCTCTCCTTCCTCTTTTCCCTCTCCTTTCGCTTTTCCTTTTCCCTCTCCTTTCTCTATTCCTTTCTCCTCTCCTTTCGCTTTTCCTTTCTCCTCTCCTTTCTCTTTTCTTTTTCCTTCTCCTTTCTCTTTTCTTTTTCCTTCTCCTTTCTCTTTTCTTTTTCCTTCTCCTTTCTCTTTTCCTTTTCCCTCTCCTTTCTCTTTTCCTTTTCTCTCTCCTTTCTCTTTTCCTTTTCCCTTTTCGTTTTCCCTCTTCCTTTTCGCTTTTCCTTTCTCTTTTTCTTTCTTCCTTTTCCCTTTCCCTTTTCGTTTTCTCTTTCCCTTTTCGTTTTCCCTCTCCCTTTTCCTTTTCCCTCTCCCTTTTCCTTTTCCCTCTCCTTTCTCTTTTTCCCTCTCCTTTCTCTTTTTCCCTCTCCTTTCTCTTTTTCCCTCTCCTTTCTCTTTTTCCCTCTCCTTTCTCTTTTTCCCTCTCCTTTCTCTTTTCCTTTCCCCTCTGCTTTCTCTTTTTCTTTTCCCTCTCCTTTCTCTTTTCCTTTTCTCTCTCTTTTTCTCTTTTCCTTTTCTCTCTCTTTTCTCTTTTCCTTTTCCTTTCTCTTTTGCCTTTTCTTTCGTCTCTTTCTCCACCCTCCCACTCTTTCTGCCTTGTCTTTTCTTTTACATAACACAGTTTGCAAATCTTTTCCCCTCTGCAGAGCCTATATTTTAAGCTCCGTTCGATGATTCCCTGCTGCCTCTGCCATGTCAATTTCACAGTTGCAGTCCCTGAGGATGAGGCAGTACAGGTATGGAGGTTTATTATTATCTGGTGCATCCTAATAGATTATCTAAGTACTGCGTGACACTCTGTTCACCAACAGTAACTGCTATGTTCCTTATCGTCCCATGTGATTGATGCAGGTTGCAGTTACCGCTGTTGCTATCACATACGACAAACAAAATGCGTTACAGGCCCCAAGCAGCAAGCTGGAGAGTGCTCAGACTCGTGGTAAGCAACTGCAGGAGGATCATACTAATTTATGAAGCATTGGTGTACTGTAACTTTTATCACCAAAATTTTAGGCATCTTATATCTATACAAAGGGGGAAATAGTAGTTCTTAATCAGACAATTGCACTACTTCTCTTTTGAGGGATATATATGTATCGTGAAGATTGGCACCTGTTCTTATTTTACCATTTGCCCACTTCCCATAGCAGATGTACTGCTACAGGGTGGCTTCGCTGGGCAAAATCACATAAATATACATGATTTTACATTACTGGGTAGGGGGTATGCGTGCCGCACTACCCGCTTTGCTATTGGCTCCTGAGGATATCAATCACCAGGTCCTGGACGGCGATTTTCAGTGATTGTTGGCGGAGCTGAGAGGGGAGAGATCTGTGTGTAAACAACACAGATCTCTATCCTGTCAGCATGGACGTGCTGCTTTCTGTCTCTCTGCATAGCAAAGAGAAAGCAACAGGTCTGCTTAATAAAACACACAGTACACAATCTAATCACTCCCTAACACACAATTAACCCTTTGATCGCCCCAAATGTTAATCCCTTCCTGACCAGTGTCATTAGTACAGTGTCAGTGCTTTTTATTAGCACTGATCACTGTATTCGTGTCACTGGAGATGTCAGTGGCAGTTAGTCAGTTCCCACCCAGTGTCAGAATGCCTACCGCAGTCTCGCTATAAGTCGCTGATCGCCGCCATTACTAGTATAAAAAAATAAATAAAAATTCCAGTATATATACCGCCATTTGTAGAGGCTATAACTTTCACGTAAACCAATTAATATACACTTATTGGGATTTGGTTTTAGCAAAGACATGTAGCAGAATACATTTGGCCTAAATGTATGAGGAAATTTTATTTTTTAAATTTTTTGTTGAATATGTTTTATAGCAAAAAATAAACAAAATATTGTTTTGTTTTTTTTTACAAAATTGAGTCTTTTTTTTTTCTTTATAGCGCAAAAAATAAAAACTGCAGAGGTCATCAAATACCAACAGAAGAAAGCTCTATTTGTGGGGAAAAAAAATTACATAAATGTCATTTATGTACAGCGTTGCATGACCGCGCAATTGTCAGTTAAAGTAACGCAACGCCGTATTTCAAATAATGGCCTGGTCAGGAAGGGGGGTAAATCTTCTGGAGGGCAAGTAGTTAATGTAGCCCTGGAAAAGATAAAAAATAAAACCAACACCCATAGTGACCTAAATCAGTGAAAATAGAAAACAAACAAATTACAGTATTTTTTATGATTGTGTTCAAAGTTCAGCAAGTGTTTCTTTTTTTAGAAGAAATCTTCTATATCAGTCTTCATGAGATTAATTTGCATGAATACTCATACATGAGTTCCCTGCACTCCTCCCTAAATTTAAATTGCACTCCTCAGATATTTTACTTTTTCTGTTTAGAAAAGGTAAAACACACTTTATACAACTCTCATGGCAGGACTTCTCCAGCTGGAAATGCTTCACTCTGAATTGAAGGACTCTTTTTAGGTATGCTCCAGGGCACTATGTAAACAGACATCAAATTACAGTGATGCCACCAGCCTACCTTGCTAATGTGGTTTTTCTTCCCCAGCACACACTCTCCAGTCAACTCCATTAACCGCTACTAACACATTTCATCACTCTGGACTTTCGTCAAAGAGTGTAGCCTGGTATATGCATGCTCCGTCTTATGCCAAATAATCTCCTCAGTAACCATGACAATGATTGACCCCCAACTCCTCCCAAGCAGTTTCCTTTATGTTAATTCTTAACCATAGCAACATTAAATGGTACTCCTTCGCAATATACCTTCCAACCTGCGATTCTTAAAAGCTTACAGCAGTATTACTTGTTATCTCAGAATAGTACAGAAATATATCCAATCTATAAACATAATCTTGGTAATTCAATAGGTCAATTAGACTTCAGTTACATAAATAATTATCCATACTAACATCTCAGTGCAAACAAATTTTAGCAATAGGTGACAAATAGAGGTTCATCAAATTACATACTCATAATATTTAAGAAGGCTGTTATAATATATCAGTCATAAAAGCTATTACTAAACATTCTATATTATATAGAAATTGACAGCACAGCATTCACATACCTAAAAACAAATACATTTAAATACCCAAACCATGTATACAATTATGACTCCCAAATCCATTAATAAGCACCATAAGTGAAAAAGTGATTGCAAAAAGTCTATTTTTAAATATACATTCATTGGCCACTTTATTAGGTACACCTTGCTAGTGGAAGAAAATATCTCCCACACCATTGCACTATCACCACAAGCCTAAATCATGGATACGAGGCAAGATGGGTCCATGCTTTCATGTTGTTTGCCTTAAATTCTGACCCTACCATATAAATGTCGCAGGAACCAGTCTGCCCATTCTCCTCTGACATCAGCAAGACATTTTTGTCCACACAACTGCCGCTCACTGGATATTTTTTCTTTTTCAAACCATTCCCCGTAAACCCTAGAGATGGTTGTGCATGAAAATTCCAGTAGAACAGCAGTTTTTGACACACTCAGACAAGCCTGTCTGGCACCAACAACCATGCCACGTTTCAAGTCACTTAAATCTCCTTTCTTCCCCATTTTGATGCTCAGTTTGAATCTCAGCAAGCCTTCTTCACTGGGTCTACATGCCTAAATGCATTGAGTTGCTGCCATGTGATTGGCTGATTAACAGTTTGTGTTACCAAGCAATTGAACAGGTGTACCTAATAAAGTGGCCAGTGAGTGTATATCAAAGCATCCGTAATCAAATCTTGTTATCTTCACCCTTGAGTGAATGTGAAATTCTTCAAAACCCATCCAATTGTCCACCACCTGAGCTTGATTTTAAACTCACCAGAGTTGTATGACCCTACTAGTATTTCAGATCATATGCACTTTTTTTGGGAACAGTAATCCCTAAATGGTTCAGCTGACAACCACATTGATAGTTCAGCAACCTATGCAACATAACAAGCCTTATTAGATGCAACACCTATTCTGTTATATATAACCTGACTATGCTACTCTGAGCATCTCTCATCCATCCAGTGCAATCCGACTCTGCAGCATCTCCAGCCAGCTCTAGTGAGTTCCTCCAATACGTACTATAGCCACATTTTTGACTCATTTTGTCGCAATGGACAGGTATCCCTTGATTACATGCATTGTGATGAAACGCATTGGAAGGTATGGCCATGACGCATGCTGGAGGCATCGAGAGCAAGATTGGAGGAACTCGCTAGAACTGGCCAGAGATGTTGTAGAGTCAGATTGCATTGGGCCGGTGAGAGAAGCTCACAGCAGCGTAGATCGAATATATACAGCAGCATAGGAATCTAATTGGACATGTAATCAGGCTTGTTGTATTGGTGCAGGTTGTTGCACCATCAGTGTGGTTGTGAGCTGGAGGTAAAGAAGAACAATTTAGGGATTATTGATCCCCAATACAAGGGCTTATGACCTGATATACTAGTAGAGTCATACAATTTCATTGAGTTTTACATAGTTTCATATTCCCTCAAGAGAACAAGGATTGTTTATGGACACTTTAAGATATAAATAGACTTCTTCCATCATTTTACACTTATGGTGTTTATTATGGTTTAGGAAATAGGTTGGATTACCTATATTAACCACTTGCCTTCTAGAGGATTTACCCCCTTCCTGACTAGGCCATTTTTTGCGATACGGTGCTGCGTTACTTTAACTGACAATTGCGCAGCCATGCAACGCTGCACCCAAATGAAATGTATGTCCTTTTTTCCCCACAAATGGAGCTTTCTTTTGGTGGTATTTGTTCGCCTTGTGTTTTTTATTGTTTGCGTGATATACAAAAAAAGACGAACAGTTTTTGAAAAAAACAATATTTTTGCTTTTTTGCTATAAAACATATCCAGTAAAAAAATGTAAAACTAATTTCGTCAGATTTAGGCCAAAATGCATTCAGCTACATGTCTAAAGAAACTTTCAATACGTGTAAATGAATTAGTTTACGCGAAAGTTATTGCGTCTACAAATGGCGGCATATATACTGGAATTTTTTTTTTTTTTTTTATACTAGTAATGGCGGAGATCAGCGACTTATAGCGGGACTGCGAAAAGCATTCTGACACTGGGGAGAAACTTACTAACTGCCACTGACATCCCCAGTGACCCTAATTCAGTGCTAATAAAAAGCACGGACACTGTACTAATGGCACTGAGCAGAAAGGGGTTAACTTCTGGGGTGATCAAAGGATTAACTGTGTGCTGTTTTACAAACTGTTCCATGTCGGTTTTACTGTGTCAGCATGCTGCTTTGTATTGCGCAATACAAAGCAGCATGCTGGTTCTGACGGGAAGGATCTGTATTGTTTACATACAGACCTCTCCCCTGTCAGTGTTCCTCGGTGATCTCCAGGTGCCTGTCTGGTTTGAAATCCCTGGCCTGGACCCAGTGATCGACAGCTGTAGCCGCCGATGGCGGCCCCCCCCCCCCCTTCGCCTGGAAATCCAAAATCACGTGTATATATATATATATATATACGTGATTTTGTGCTGCCCTGTAGCAGTAGTTCTGCTGCTGCTATAGGGTTGCAGGAAAGCAGTTAATTTGTTATTAGATATGTGAGTGCTACACTGTCAATTTTTGTGTATAATATAAGTATAGAGAGCTGTTGTTGCACTTTATTGGTGAGCTACAGTACAGGAATTTCCTTTTTATATACACCATAAACTAAACATTCTATGTAAACAATAAACATAAATGTATAAATATACTAAAAAATGAAATTAAAATCACAATTAAATATTTTATTTTCTCTAGTTTCCGCAGACACGGACGAGCAACTGCAGTTTCCTCTAGAGTTATCATCGGATTCCCCTGGACTGCAGCCCTTCTCCCCGTCCAAAGGTGAGTGTTTACAGTATGTGACTGTGCTGGATAGGAGACTCCCCAAATCTGGGTATATATAGAGAGTTTTTGCTTAGCCAGCGGGTTAAGCAAAAAAACCTGACAGATTTCCGCATTCACTTCACTTGCTCAACCCGCTGACCGAAAAAAAAAAAAAAAAAAAAAACTCTTTATGTATACTCAGCTTTTTCTCCCCCACCATACTACATCAGAATTCACAGATCAGTGCTGCAGCCGTTGACTGCATGTGCTGATCGAATGTTAGCTTTTCAGCAGGACCATTTGACAGAATTGCCAGTCTAACAACCGACTTCTTCTGAGCAGAGAGAGATACACACGCATCAAAATTCGTCCAGTTCCTGCTGAACCGACCGAATTTCAATAAGTGTATACCCTGCTTTAGTGCTTCTGCTTACTGACCTGGAAGCCCTCCCATTTTATTTAGCCCAGAGAACAACTGGCGGATTTGTGTTCTTTTCAATTAGTCATTTTCAATCTGCCTAGGAATTCCCACTCCTTCAGACTGACAGACACCCATCAAGGCAGTCTTCCCTTTGGTCTTGCATGGTTGTATAGGCTCCTTTCCTTTCTTGTACTGAAATTTCTGATTTCACTAAACACATTAAGCTACTCACAATCTGGGTTAGAAGCTACAGCAAGTCAGATAAAGCCTACCTTTCATATTCTGGCTAGGGGACATGCAGCATCATCTAGCCCTTCTCTCCCTAGCCTGACTGTGCTTGGTCTGCCTTTTTCACTCATTGGATTACAGTTTATTTTTAATCATGAAGGCTCATCATCACGTGGGAGTTACCTAGGGTGACAAATTCAGCCTGCTTTGGTATGTTTATTCCTCCAGACTGGCATCCACCCATCAAGACATTTTGATATATGCATAACTCCTCCTAACTAAGAGGTAACCCACTGCTTGTATCAGGGCTGACAGCTCTTGAGAGGAGTACTGAGGCAGGGTGATGTTTTCAGAAAGATATGTACAGCTCCCAGCCAGTCCCTCCCACCAGCCTTGATCTGCCTGCCTTACATAGCAGAGACCCAGTGGTGATCTCACGAAGTCTAAAATACGGTATGTAACAAAAATGGAGAGGTTTTTTTATTAAAAAAAATGTAACTAGCATTTAGATGAGGGGGTCAGGAGGAACCAGGGCAGGCAAAATATAAGCAGATTAAGCGTAAGCTTTAAAGTAAACCTATAGCCTAGATATTTAATTTTTAGTTTGAGATATCATGTGATCAGATTAGAACGTTTATTGGGTTTTTTCACTCTCTGTGTTCCACATGGAACATTCATGGATACCATTGTCACTGAACAGGAAATAATGGAAAAGCTGAAATATTATAGTTGTCACTAGAACAGGATGTGCAGTAAAATCCTCCAATGGGAACACCAGTTCCGGTGACAGCTGTCTTGCACATTCCCTCCTAGCATTAAGTAGCTATATAAATATTTAATTCGTGACTGCTTCCCTTTAGACCAACCTCTATAACAGTATTTCTTTGCTTTTTTTCCCAGATCTCCCGGAACGAGGAGGTTCCCCAGCCAATGCCATCCAGCGAGGTAAGACATCCACATCTCCCTTCTCTTCTTTACTGTTACTTCTTTTCTTTCCAAGAAGCCAATAATTTGCTTCATCAGGACACATTGTGATGAGCAAGAGACGTCATCCATGTTTTTTTTTCTTTGTTCCTGTCTTCTCTGTCTGTGTGTTTCCAGTCACTGCCGCTGATTACAGTTCCTTTGCAGACAGATGCAGCAGCTGGATAGAGCACATAAAAATGAGGGCTCAGACCATAAGACGCGGATCAATTAAAACAAGTAGGCAGCTGTGTGTTTCTTCATTGTCCTGATTGTCCCAGGCCGACATGTCACACGCCGTGGTGATGGGGGGGAGGGGACTGTCTACCCAGATCAATCCCACAGAGTGTGAAACTTATTGTATGTAGATATTGGAGATGTGAGTGTTAACATTGTGTGTTTACATCCCAGCAACATCTAAATTGCAGCCTGATTTCTGTGTAATAATTGCTAATTACATCCAAAATCATACAGTTTCGTGAAGTGGTCAGGATTTTAACAGGTTAGGTGAGCTTTTTTGACACCAGTTTCTCTTTAAATTGTCTGTCCACCTAAAAGCAAACTTAGGTGAAGGTGAAGTTTTGCAACAGGCAAGAGGAGCAGGCGCTCTCAAGCCTGCAATATGTGCCTGTATCCATGGAAGTAGGTGGTGGCTGAATGGAGCTTGTTTGCACTCCCCATGGGTCATAAGCAAATAAACAGCAGCCCTCTGATGATATCAGCGTCTTGTAAAACTTTATTGTTCAGCACAATTACACAGAAGGCCTGCCCAGAACCTCCTATTATGCGTTTCTCCCAGAAAATGGCTTAATCTCTATAATTAAGTGCTTTCCACATGTGTAATATGTTTGAGTGGCCTCCTGACACACAGCAACAAACCTAAAATCCTACCTGCACAATGTTTGGAATCGTAGCGCACCTCAATGCTTCGTAGTAAGTTACAGTATGTTGCAATGCATGTGTATTGGAGTGCCATTAAAAAAAGAATGACACTACAGCGCACCAACACACATAACATTGTAGTGGTGTGAATGGGCCCTTATGGAGAGGGAGAGGGGTTCTGTAGTTCAGGGGAGAAGTGGGCAGGGTACCAACACTTCTTGGGATTTCAGTGGAATAGGCACATAATATTGTCAGTTCAAACAGGAAGTTAGGAGCTCACTGGATTTCTGGCAGGTCAGCGGGTATTTCTCTGTACTTGCAGAATTTGTAAAGGGGTAAAACATGGGAAAATGTGCATGTATTGCAAAGATGTACTTGAATTTGTTTGTATGGAGCCATTGTAGTTGAAAAACCTTTTTTTTTTTTTTTTTTTTTTTTTTAACACAAATCTAGTAGAGTCCACCTTAACAAGGAACCCCGTCCTTGAGACTGTTCCCTCTAATGGTGGTCTGTCTGAGCCACTGAAGGAAGGTGGCATGAGAAGAAAAAAAATCTAGTAAAAATATTTTTAGAGCAGAAGAATATTAATCCATTTTCCAAGGACAGTAGTAAATAGTTGGGGCTTACTGGCAGTAGGAGGGGTAATCCTGGACTGGCCTACTGTTTTTTGGTTTGCAAGTGTCCAGTCCTTCTGTAGGCAGCAGTGTAACACGACAGTATGTGACTTCCTGTGTCACTCAATAGACGAAAAAAAAAAAAAAAAAAAAAAAGTCATGTGACCAGCATCTCTTCTGTGTCTGCAGCGTTGTGCAGAGAGCACTTTGTAGGACACTGTAGGCTGCACACTGCAGCCTAAATTTTACGACTGGCTGGTAAAATGCAAATGCAGTGCTGTGCTTTGCTGTGCCCATCTGATAGTGGTATCTGTTCTCTGTTAAAAATCTGGGCTTAAACATAAATGTTTAATTTTCACAAAGTTTCCAGAACGTAAGTAGAGTGTAATGTCAGGCAGCGTTTCATGGAACTAGGTGGCATGCACTGTTGCTGTTAGGTTGTTCCTATAAGTGCACACAGTGTATGGCAGTTGCTGGTAAATCTGTCCATCATATAATTTCTTTGCTTGTTTCCAGAATCCAGAAAGTGTAGGGCAGGTAATCAAACATGGTAATGTAGCTAAGGTGTGAATAGGTCCCTATAAAGAAGGTGAGGTGTTCTGCACTTCAGAGCAGTGGGTGGGGGTAGTGGGTGTAGCTGACAACACTGTTTGGGATTTCAGTGCAACAGGGGCACAGTACTTTCAGCTCAAACAGGAAGTTAGGAGCTCACTAGATGTCTGGCAAATCAACAGGTATTTTTCTGTACTTGCAGCATTTGTAAAGGGGTAAAAAATGAGAAAATGTGCCTATACTGCAAAGATGTACTTTAATGTGTTTGTATTTTACCCCAACATACACTGTAAGACCTTGTTCTTGAAAGCCTTTGGGGGACACTGCAGCAAAATCAGGTTGAACTCACTGGGAACCACTTTGAAGCCATGATAATCCAGCTGAGAAGAATGAGAAGGTTGTTTTTTTGTATAACTGACATAGAGGAGCTAGGGTGATATTTGATAGCGGTGGATGGTTTCTAAAGCTGGTCACAATAGACTTACTGAATGGGTTCTTTTGTTGGCCCCCCTAAGAAGAACAGTGACTTTGGAGTGGCCTTGTGCAAAAAGTGATACATACAGTATATGTACTGTATATACACAGTCCCATCAGCCATAACTGGATGACCACTGACAAGTTAAAGTGGAACTTTGAGGATAAAACTAAAAATGGGCAAACAGGAGGAGTTTTAAAGTAGAAAAAGTATGCTTTGTCTCTACTGTATTAAAGTAAGTTACCTGCCTGTACACCCCTGCACAGTGAGCTGCACATGCACAGCTCATTGTACAAATTCAGCAGTGCTGAAGCTGACTGAACTCCTGTATATGCAGGAGTGACATTGTCTTGGACGGGCCAATAAAAGCGGCCAGCAATCGAGAACTGGCAGAAGGCAAGCCAGCAGAAGCAGTGTTATTCTGTGAAACTTTGTGTCCTGCCATTCATGTGAATGTTACTTGACACGTACTGCCTACCTAAACATTGTTGCTGACCAAGTACACCACTTTATGGAAAACGTATTCACTGATGGCTTCTTTTGGCAGGTTAAGACACCCTGCCATGCTGCAAGAATGGTTTGAGGAACACAACAGTGATTTTGAGGTGTTGACTTTGAATCCAAATTCTTCAGATCTCAGTCCAATTGAGCATCTGTAGAATATGCTGGGAATACAAGTCCAATCAACAGAGGCCCCACCTTGCAGCTTACAGGACTTTAGGGATCTGCTACTGACGGCTTGGTGCCAGATACCACAACATACCTTCAGAGGTCTAACAACATCCATGCCAGATCAGGGTTGTTTTGGCAGCAAAAGGGGGACCTCAGTATATACTCAGTATTAAGTGAATAGTCATAAAGTTATGGCTGCTCATTGTATATATAACGTATACATATTTGTTTATACCACTGAACAGCTTCATAAACACCCACAATGCTGAGTGTTTTCTATTGACGCCAGTAAAGTATTCACATCCAGTAAAATTAAATGCGGTCCCAAGTTTCATGTTGACTCAGAAATGATATTGCCTGTACAGTGCACTAGTCTACTTCACTGACTAGGCTGGGCCTTTAAATAATGAGGTCAATGATTCTTCTGAGATCGGAGGCTTCAGGAGGTACTGCAAACAGGAGAGAGTAAAGCTGGCCATACATTATAAATTTTTCTTTACAATACAATTACTGTACAATCTCCTTTTAGATTTACCTTCAACTATGTAGTGCAAGAACCTATCTGATTAGATAAAATTGAAAGCATTGTTTAGATTTGACCTCATATTATATTGTTTTTTGGTAAATCTAAAATTGTTCAATAACAGTGTATAATGTATGGCCAGATCACATGATAATTCATTCCAATCGTCAGTTTACCACTAAGGTAAACCATAGATGAAATTGCTCACAGTGCTATTGTGTTCTGCTGGCGGGGAGCCTTTCTGGCTGGCAGAACACAATGATTACTGTTAGTGGCTATAGCATCAGGCAGCAATCGCATGTAAAAAAATCCAACAGGTTAGTTGTACCCAAGTCGATTGATGGATCTCACACATAGACTATGGAACTGACAGGGAGAGAGGGAGGGGAGAGAAGCTGAGGAGAGAGCAGAATGATGGAGGCACATAAACTGACCACAGTATCATGGATCAGCAGCCATGATTACCGTGGTCAGTACACCTAGGGAAATATAGGAACAGGCAGGATCAACCAGGTATTTTACAACATAGAATGGGACAAATGATACGACAGAAACACTGTGCTATGTATTATGCTTTAAAGGGACGTGCATTTTTGGGGGGGGTTACAACGACTTTAAGAGACACAGGAAATCCTATATTGTGAGCTTATACAGCCACCGACAGGAGGATTGGATAGTGGCAAACAAAAATTTTTTGTAGGACAGTCAAGGATAACCTCTCCTACTCAGCATTCCTTGTTTTTATAGGAAAGCAGTACTAACAGCATGAACATAAACACACCTGTGTTCCCCAAAAAAAGAATTTAACAGTGAATATAAAAAATATAAAAATACTATTTTTTCTCACCCATTGAGGCACACAGAAAGTCAAATACGGTCAGAAATACTAAAGGCAGTTCCAACTGAGGGGTAGGCAACAGTAAACAAAATGCTAACAGACCCACAAAAACAACAACAGAACTGTAGGCTGCTGCAGTTAAGAGAGCCGCCTAAAGGACCTTCTGCCTGAAGATGGCACCAGATGAGGTTGTAATGTCCACCTAGTAAAACAAGGGAATGTGTGAATAGCAGACCAGGTGACTGTTTTGCAAACACGGGAGACAGTTGCTTGATGTCTAAGAGGCACTTACAGATCTAGTACATCTTAACACACTTAAAAAGGTTGAAAGCAGTCCCTGAGACCATAAATGTAAATGATGTAATGGTGAAGTGAGAAGATCAAAGCTATTAAAAACATGGTTAGAGCTGAAGAATGTAGTCCATCCTATTGGAGACTAGCAAAAAGAAAAAAAAAAACCTGAAGCATGCTGGGAAGGTAGGAAGGTACTTATCCTTGAGCTGGCCTGCAGTTTTTGTTTGCCTGTGTCCAGTCCTTGTGTAGGCAGCAGTATAACTTGACAGTACACAATTTCCTGTGTCACTCTAAGAAGGAGAATAAAAAAAGACATGTCCTGCCTCCCCTCCTGTTTCTGCTGCATTAGGCAGAGATATTTTTGTGGGACATTGCAAGCTGCACACCACAGTCTAAATCTTATGACACAGGCAGTGTGGTGTACATTGCAGTATCTATCACATAGTGTTTTCTGCTCTCTGTTATAAATATGGGCCTAAACATAAATCCTTCATTTTCCTAAGGTTTGCAGAACATTAGCAGAGTGTGATGTCAGGCAGCATTTCATGGAACGAAGTAACACACACGGTTGCTGTTGGTTGTTCCTGTCATTGCACACAGTGTGTTGTAGTTGCTGGGAAATCTGTCCACCTTAAACATTTCTTGCAATGCTCACTCTAATTCAGGAAGCACAGAGCGGGAAGTCTAACATGACAATGTAACTAAGCAAAATTTAAGGGGGGGAGAAATGAAACAAAAAAAGCACAATCTACGGTACAATTTTCACACTCTCTCAAACTTGATGATCAATTCTTCCAGCTCACAATTGTTATCAAATCTCTGCGTGCTTCTCATGCCCCTCCTGGTCTCCTCTTCTTTTTCAGCTTTATTTTCCTTCATTTTGCTGAGCTCATTTGTGATTCTTTTTGCAGGAATGTCACTGTTCCAAGTTGCCATCCTTTCCTCCTGCGCTTGCATGTACTGCATGACTGTCATTCATCTAAACATGTTTCTTTTATCTCCATCTGCCTGGCTCCACAAGGCTGAGATTCATCCTGTATGCCACCTCCCGGCTCATGCCAACCAACCAATGAGACCACTTCCTGTCATCCTGCAGACTGTCTCGCCCTGTCAACTTGCTGTTCAATCACCGTGTATATCTCACCAGTCTCTCTTCTTCTTTTCCAGTCACATCACTGGACAAGGCCAGTCCTCTGGCTGACGGTCAGCTAAGACACAAGGCTGGTGTTGTTTTTGGAGGCCCAACAGTGACTGTTGTCAAGATGACCCCATTGTCCTTTATACCGGGAGCCAAGATAACTAAATACCTAGGAATTATCAACATGTTTTTCATAAGAGAGACCACATCTTTGCGGGAGGTGAGGAAAAAAACTAAGGATGAAAGCGGATTATTACCAATGATTATCATTTCTAATGATAAGGTAATCAACAACCTTTCCTTTGAAAGGTTTTGACAGTTTATTTAGAAGAGAAGAGTTACGGAGTAAAAATATTAGAATGTAGGGAGAATAATGCTCTGGAGAGCCTTAGCCATGGCAAGTGTGTCAAGAATTTGATCAAATGAGAGTCTTTTAGGCTGCAATCCTAAACATTTGCCATGTAGGACCTTCCAAACGTAAACATGTTACATATTAAATCATTCTCTTAAGAATTCGCAAAAGCAAATTGACCAACCTCCAGACTCCCAAAATATATTATTGTAGAACAAGGAGACCAGCTGTCTCTGTGGTCCACAGAAAGACATTTCAAGGATCCGGAGAATAACAATTTGTTCCAACAGTAGCTTTTTTGCAAAGTGATTCCAGAAAATTATCCTGTTATGTCATACAGAAACTGTTACCAAATAAGCACTTAATAATGTAATTTGTTGATTAGAACAGAATATAATAAATCTTTTTCTGTATCACCAAAGGGCTGAAGCGCTTAACATTGCCCTGATGAAACCTTTATGCGGCCCAATTCTTGTTCAAAATCTCGAATCAGGAAGGAATCTAGGTGTCTGTAGCCAGCTTTAAGGCACTGAGGCCCATACACCATGAATAGGCCATTTTTTATGAAGCTCGAGCCGCCAGGTGCTCTGTGCTGGTAGCCTATGTAGGTCTATGGGGATGCAGTTGGTGGCTGCATGGATACAGACGCTCATCTTAATTTGACAGGCATGCTGTTGCGGGTGAGCAGCCCTGAACACAGACAGTGTGCTTTCAGGGTCACTCACCCGCACCAGCACACCTGTCAAATCAGGAAAAGCAGCTGTGTCTGTGCAACCGCTGCATCCCTGTAGACTTACAGTGGGGCAAAAAAATATTTAGTCAGCCACCAATTGTGCAAGTTCTCCCACTTAAAAAGATGAGAGAGGTCTGTAATTGGTATCATAGGTAGACCTCAACTATGAGAGACAAAATGAGAAACAAATCCAGACCATCACATTGGCTGACTTGGAAATAATTTATTTGCAAATTATGGTGGAAAATAAGTATTTGGTCACCTACAAACAAGCAAGATTTCTGGCTCTCACATACCTGTACCTTCTTCTTTAAGAGGCTCCTCTGTCCTGCACTCATTACCTGTATCAATGGCACCTGTTTGAACTTGTTATCAGTATAAAAGACACCTGTCCACAACCTCAAACAGTCACACTCCAAACTCCACTATGGTGAAGACCAAAGAGCTGTCGAAGGACACCAGAAACAAATTTGTAGACCTGCACCAGGCTGGGAAGACTGAATCTGCAATAAGCAAGCAGCTTGGTGTGAACAAATCAACCGAGGGAGCAATAATTAGAAAATGGAAAACATACAAGACCACTTATAATCTCCCTCGATCTGAGGCTCCACGCAAGATCTCACCCCGTGGGGTCCAAATGATCACAAGAACGGTGAGCGAAAATCCCAGGACCACACGGGGGCACCTAGTGAATGACCTGCAGAGAGCCGGGACCAACGTAACAAAGGCTACCATCAGTAACACACTACGCCGCCAGGGACTCAGATCCTGCAGTGCCAGACATGTCCCCCTGCTTAAGCCAGTACATGTCCAGGCCCATCTGAAGTTTGCTAGAGAGCATTTGGATGATCCAGAAGAGGATTGGGAGAATGTCATATGGTCAGATGAAACCAAAATAGAAATGTTTGGTAGACACACAACTCGTCGTGTTTGGAGGAGAGAGAATGCTGAGTTGCATCCAAAGAACACCATACCTACTGTGAAGCATGGGGATGGCAACATCATGCTTTGGGGCTGTTTCTCCGCAAAGGGACCAGGACGACTGATCCATGTACAGGACAGAATGAATGGGGCCATGTATCGTGAGATTTTGAGTGCAAACCTCCTTCCATCAGCAAGGGCATTGAAGATGAAACGTGGCTGGGTCTTCCAACATGACAATGATCCCAAACATAGCGCCCGGGCAACAAAGGAGTGGCTTCATAAGAAGCATTTCAAGGTCCTGGAGTGGCCTAGCCAGTCTCCAGATCTCAACCCCATAGGAAACCTTTGGAGGGAGTTGAAAGTCCGTGTTTTCCAGCGACAGCCCCAAAACATCACTGCTCTAGAGGAGATCTGCATGGAGGAATGGGCCAACATACCAGCAACAGTGTGTGCCAACCTTGTGAAGACTTACAGGAAACGTTTGACCTCTGTCATTGCCAACAAAGGATGTATAACAAAGTATTGAGATGAACTTTTGATATTGACCAAATACTTATTTTCCACCATAATTTGCAAATACATTCTTTCCAAATCAGTCAATGTGATTGTCTGGATTTTGTTTCTCATTTTGTCTCTCATAGTTGAGGTCTACCTATGATGCCAATTACAGGCCTCTCTCATCTTTTTAAGTGGGAGAACTTGCAGAATTGGTGGCTGACTAAATACTTTTTTGCCCCACTGTATATAGGCTGTCTGCATGGAGGACTTGGTGATAACAGCTGCATTAGCAAATGGGGCCTGTTCGCACCATATGGACCTATAATCAATAACATTTTTGAGAACGTTGATACTCATGTGTGCATATAATGTGCTCCTTTCATTAATGACATTGATTGTTGCGCATTTTCCAGGAAGGCGGAGTTAGCGGATTCCTCCATGCTTTTATCTGTGAAGTATTCGCCATGGTCCGTGCACATGTAGCAGCTCTAGGAGGTAACGCTGTTGTGTCGTACATCATGAAACAATGTGTGTTCATGGAGAATGCAAATAAGAACCAGGTAAGAAACCTTAACAGATTGGCGCCACTCCAAGTCTGCAGTGTCAGTCTCTGAGGTTTACGTTCTCTATTCAGGTGTTGGCAGAAATAGAGAAAATCTTGCTCCAAAAATATAACATACCATGCAGGTACTGCGGCACACTATTCAGTTCTAATGTATGTTGAGTGAAAGATTGCTTCAGCTCAAATCCCAGCCCATTGGTCACATTCCTCTGGCATGTTAAACCCACATTGGGCTTAATCGAATGATTAAGCCCAGTGTGAGTGAAAACATTTCAGAGGGGTGTTACCGATGGGCTGGAATTTGAACAGAAGTCAGCTTTTCACTCACCATGCATTGGAGTTGAATACAGTGTGCAGCGGTACCATCATGCTAGGTTAGAAGCCTAGCATAATAGAATGGCTGAGCGTTTTTTAAATATGTAAAGCAAAATAAAGCATGCGCCCTAGGAAACAGTGTTATCCATCAAAGCTGTTCAGATCACTGTGGTGTATTTTGCTGTACATTGCAGTGAAAAACAGACACACCTCATTTTGCGCCGTGTTCACAGAAATACTCAGTGTGCTGGAAAAATACTCCATGCTCAAGTAAAGTAAGCCATGTATAGCCATTCACTTGTATAGATGGCTGTACATGGCACAGAAAAGCACCAGCAATTTTACACTAGAGAACTGTAAAGCCTCTAAATGCCTGTGTGCATGAGGTCTTTTTTAGGATTAAAGAAGGGATTCCTGGAAGCCCTTTGAATTTGCTTTTTTTTTATTCCTGAGGAAGAAGAAAAGACATCTTAAAAAGGGGATAGGCATCCTACAGTTTATTATCATGACGGAGGGCATACCTGGAAGCCCTTGGATGTGCTTGCTTATCCCTGCAGAGGAAGTTGTTGAGTGCATGCATGTCTATAGGAATGTCATGGATGCTTGTTTTGAAAGGGCATTTTCAGTTCTATTACAAAGTGAATTAGATCATCTTAAAGCTCCACTTTGGGCAAAATCAGTGTTTGCTTTTTAGGTAACTTTTTATTTTGTATATTGTGTTCTCCATTTAACGATGTGCATCTGCATTCTCATCTTACGCTCCAAAGAAGTCAGCTCATTCTCTGTCTAATTTCCTGGCCAGGTTGAAGGAATTAACTTTTCTTTATTATAAATCCCAGGATACAGAATATCTTAATTTCCATTATGATAGGTTTTGCTTCAACCTTTAGGTGGTGGGACACTGGTAAAAAAAGACAGGAAACACCCTCCTAGGCATAACCTCCCCATGTTAGGGCACAACTTCAGTTTTTGCTAGTGTCTTGGTCCTGTTCAGTCTCTGCATGAAAGAATAGCTAGCTTCTTGACGATTCCATCTGGGATTAGGAGTCTGTTTTTTTCCAAATCCATCACCTATACTTTGGCTTTTCTACACTAGAAATGTAGAGGAATGGTACCTGGACACATGGGGATGGCCTGTAAGGTTGCCAGTCAGCGCTGGACCCTGCAAAATGAACTACTGCTTTGCAGACCAGTAGGGTGCTATACAGGTCCAGGGCAGTTACTCCCAGCTGGGAAGTTGAGTCCATGAAGGCTCTTGTGACTTTGCCTGCCTCCCTCTTTCTTCTACTCTTCAACTTAAGTTCAGATACAGTTTACTTACTGTTTACTTTCTCTGACTTCTAGTCTCTTGTTGAAATGGTTTCTACATACAGTATGTCAAAGTGAAATGAACTGTATTGCTGTTACAAGAAACTCTGTAACATATTGTCTCAGGGCTAATTCACACTATATGTGGTGATGTTTTACCGCATTGTAAAATGTCTGTCACTGCAAGGACACACAGGAAATAATTGTTTCTTATGTGTCCCATTCACACTGCAATGCAGCTTAGTGCTGCGGTAAAATGCAGACATGCTTCATTTTATTGCAGCGCATCGTGCCGCATCGCACTGCAATGTAAGGCAGTGCAGCACATCACACTGCCCTACATTGCAGTGAATGAAGTGTATGTTTTAGCATAAATTGTATTCAATACATATAAAAAAAGGGAGCCGTGTGATGCACTGAATTGTGCACCAACACTGCCCCCTGCCACAGCCGGCAACATGGATCAGCCATCTTTGGAGGCAGAGCGCGTTCGCTGTACATCTACAGGCAACAGCAGAGTGGTGCTAAGAGGGACTATAAACTTACCGGCCACTTTATTAGGTACACCTTGCTACACGGTGTGGTCTTCTGCAGCTGTAGCCCATCTGCTTCAAGGTTTGACGTGTTGTGCATTCAGAGATGATATTCTGCATACCTTGGTTGTAATGAGTGGTTATTTGAGTTACTGTTGCCTTTCTGTCATCTCCAACCAGTCTGCCCATTCTCCTTTGACCTCTAACATCAACAAGGCATTTTTGTCCACACAACTGCCGCACACTGGATATTTTCTCTTTTTTTGGACCATTCTCTGTAAACCCTAGAGATGGGGGGGTGAAAATCCCCAGTTGTGTCCAAAGTCGCATGACAAGTCACACAAGGGTGAATGCAGCCTTACTAGAACTGGTGCACTCAGAATCTGGAGCAGCTGTGCAGAGTAACAAACAGCTTCCAGGTTTTATTGTCAAAGCTTAATTGAACAAACTGAGGTTAGAAGCTGATTGGTTACTATGCCCAGCTGCACCAGATTCTTAGTAAATCTTCCCCACAGTATAGTTTACTGAGGCTGTCCAAGGATTCTAGTATATGAGATCAGGTGCATCAGGGATCCCTCCTCCCAGTGACCAGACCTAGCTACTGTGAGTGAAAATTTATGATATGATACTCATTTGACTTTAGGTTGGGGAATAGAAGTTTTGGTGCAACAATTATAGGAGAATCCTGCTTACACTGCTATGGTGAGTATTAGTGGATGAGTGGGGGAAGGGGGTGGGGTTGATTAAAGACCTAAATGGGCAAAGTGACAAAGTCTCTTTGGGTTGAACATTATAGGGTGATGATCATGCTAACATTTTGAGTTGCTTACACAACAATATAAACTTCCATTCTGCTCTCTTCTAGGCACAGTGTCTCATCAATGTCAGTGGTGATGCTGTTATCTTTACAAGAGAATCAGAGTCAGACGGAGCACCAACTCCTTCACAGCAGTGTATGACAAGCTCTACAAACCAAACAGCATTGATGGGCAGAGATGGGACATGATAGTCAATAAAGGAGGAGGCTAATCCTGCCAGAAGGATGCACAATGTTGCCAAATTATCATTCAGTCAGATTGTGATCTGCTTTCTGTTTTGCTTGTTACAATCTGAACATTCACTTAGGTACATCAACATCTGTAGAATGCAGCAATATAATCGCAATAATTTTCTGCATGTACCCGGAATTTGTCGTATAACTTCCACTGAACTGAAAGCCCCAATCTTGCCTTCCTGTGGTCCCAGCTATGCAGACACAGGAAATCCGGCACACAGCTTGAGTTGCTTTATGGAAAAGAAAGAACCTGAAATATGATTGGATGATATTGTGTCCAGTAATGAAGTCATTCCACGGCTGTCGCCGTCAGTCCAGCAGACCTGGCACTAGCAAGTACAATGTGGGTCATTCACCGTGACTTCACATATGGCTGCGCTGTGATGAATCTCGGCGATTTACTAGTTTTGGAAAACTTGACTGTAAAATGAAACCTTTTGAATCCAAACAACAAATATGCAGAAGTCAGAAGGAGCTGGGGGTGACCGCTATCAGCACATATTATATTTAAAGCCTAATTGAAATCTCAGAACTTTTTTTTTATCGTTTTTTGCACCACATGTTATGATCTGTGATTGATATTTGCTTGGAAACACTTTTAATACCTTTCTTTCTTGTCCATGGAGGGACACTGGAATTCAGAGACTGTCGGGTTATACTGCGGCCTGCAGGAGGATTGGACACTGGCAAGCAAAAAATTGTGAACCAGCCCAGGATAATCATTCGTCTACCTAGCATGCCTCAGTGTTTTTGCTAGTGTTGTAGGTCTTAAACATCCAGTTGATTCCTTCCTTGGTCATGTTAGCAGGTTCCCTTATCTGGTAGGAGGCTCAGCCTCATCTGGTTTCAGATAAAGGTGTCCTTTAGGTGGCTCTTGGGCTGCAGGCAGCCCCTATTTCTATTCTGTTGGGCCTGTTGGTGATTGTTGCTCTGCCCACCCCTCAGTTGAAATACTTTTGCATTTTCCAAGCAGTATTCTAATCCCTGTGTGAATGTCAGTAGCCAAAAAAGAAAATAGGATTTTTGTACTCACCGTAAAATCCTTTTATTGCAATCTATTGAGGGGCACGCACACACACACTTTATGTTCATGCTCTCAATACTGCTTGCTACAAAATATAGCATGCTGGGTAGAGGAGACATTCTATTAGGTTGGCTTGTTTTTGTTTTTTGTTTTTTTTTGTGCCAGTGTACTATCCTCCTGTAGGCAGACAGAATAACTGCATGATATCTGAATTCCCGAGTCCCTCAATAGACTTTAAAAAAAGGATTTTATGGTGAGTACAGAAATACTCATTTTCTTTCAGAGAAAACGCTGCTTCTTGCTCTCCCCCTGCTCTTTGCTTGCAGAGTTGAGTAATATCAGGTGTAATATTGATCGCTGTCCAGTAGGCATCAAAGTTAGACCCAGTGCCTTCAATAGTCAGCAAAGTCATATTTAGACTCCTTGTACAACTTCTGCAAAATAAAGTTCAGACTAGGAGATTTTAGCACAATGTCTTTCAGACTATATGTGATATCCCTGTGACAGCATCACTTCACCTCCAGGCCTCTTGGAGGTCCAGGGTGCCAGAAGGAAGCTCCATTGTGCTGCCATTTTTTCCTGAAACATGTTTCAATACGTTTCTTTGGGACTTGTGTAGTTTCTGGCAGCTATAGGTGGTTCTGTGAGCAGTGAAAGGGAGAGTACTATGTAATGTGATCACCACCCACAGCTCACAGCTTCCTAAAGTTGTTATAGGCTCTAGAGGTAGGTGTTACTAGGCTGGATTCTATGATAATTGCTATACATTCACTTCTACCTAGCCTAGATGTCTGACATCACCTTTGCAGTCAAGGACTACAGATGGCAGTCTAAATGACGAAACTTAGGACATGAATGTCTGTGTGACGCTTACTGTTGCACAGCTGCATGTAAGGCATTTAGCTGAGACAGAAAGTAAAATGTTATTAGCAATTGCATACAGGCTGGTGACATAGGAAACACTTCAGGAGGTATTTGCAAAAACAGTTCTCATTTTATTTGGGTTGTAAATCCACTTTAGCACTACACTCTCCTTTATGACAAAACATATTTGCCATATGGCCATACATGTGTGAACATTGGGTTGCCCAACAGCTCATTCCAAATCAAGGGCTACCAATGTGTAGTCATCCCTCACTTGACTGCTCTCACAGCCTCTCCTTTTTTGGGAATGACCCCCTTGATGCTGGCAAATACTGGAGTTAGTGGGATTTGCACTTACGGATGGCTGTCAGGGTCACTCACATTTCCACCTCATCCAAGAGAGCATCAATTGGGGGAAGTGGGACTATCAGTTGTTTTCTTCCACTCTTGTCTCAGCAAACCTCTAGGGCAGCTGGGGTGCAGGGGCTGGGGTTTAGATGAAAATTATGAAACTGTTACGTTGGACAGATACTGTTTATTCTAGTAGTTTTGATGACTTTGGATCAAGTCAAAAATTGTAACAGATTGATGTCTTAGCGTTGGTAAATTCAGGCTGCTCTCTAAGAAGGAGGTCATTTATAACTAAAGCTGGCCATACATGGAGCAAATTTTATCTGGTTTAGAAATTTTGCTCTGTCGGTGGCCCTGTAAGAACCTTTCCACCTGATATTTTTCAATTGAAGAATCAAAGGAGCTGGGGGGAAAACTCAGCTAAACAGCACCTACATACAGTCAGATGCAGGAACTGTTAAATATTTTTAAAGTTGCCAGTGCATGCTGTCATAAAAAAATAGCTGCAGGAAGAGATTGGTCCAAGTGGAGGAATTTTTTTTTGTTTTGTTTTTTTTTTGTTTTTATTTGTTCAGCCTGTGTGTGTAATCTATGTGTGTATGGCCAACTTTAAAGCAGAACTCTGGGCAAAAACCTTTGTTGCTGATTTCCTGCATTCACTGAATATGCCATACATCTTCTGGTTCACACAGTAGTTGCTGTGAATATTCATTTTCAAATCTAACCGTTAATTCTTTGGTTTCCTGTTTGTAAGACCAGTGGCTGCTATTCTTCCTATTCCCCCAGCCACTGGTCTTGGCACATGCCTTCTGTAGTTCTTTCTCCAGGAAGCAAATGTTGTAATTCAGCCCCACTTGCAGTGGTGGGTGGACCAAGACTCTCAGACACATTCAAAATGTAAATTACTAGTGTACCTGCACACCTTCACTACAATTCTGTGTGGTTGATGGGAACTGTAGTTTCTTTTTACTGCAGAAAGAGAGGAGAGGATATGATGGAATCCCAGAGAGAGAGAGCAGAGGATATGATGGAATCCCTGCTGTTACACCTCTTCCTTGGCAGAGCAGATACTTTTGAATGATATTTGTCCTATCCCAGAGTTCTTCTTTAAGGTCACATACCATTAAAGAGCTCCTAAAGTGCACTCTATCTGATATGGAAAGCCACACACCAGAGCTCCCCAGCTTTTCAATCAAAGGCTGGCCATATATTATACAATTTTCTTGTTCAGTTTCCTTTAGATTTACCTTCAACTATGTAGTGCAAGGGCCTGCCTGATTGCATACAAATTTGAAAGTGTTTAGGTTTGACCTCTTATTATACGGTTTTGGTCAATCTAAAGGAAAATTGTATAATGTATGGTCAGCCTTAGTTTACTGCAGCCCCTTTGTAAACAGCATTTGCTACAAATCAGAAGCTATTCTCCTAAATTGCACCCTGAATGCCTTCAAACACTTTGGTATGTTTATTTAAAAAAAATAAAATAAATTAGGAACTTTATGTCCTCAAACTTTTAACAGTTTTTTGACAGAAGGCTCAATGCACAACCATGGATACATAGCACTTTATGACAGTGGCACATTCAGTGAGCTATCAATACAACCCTGTCCAAATACTTGTTGCTGTAAAGTTTAACTCCATGAATAGAGAGATATACACAGTTCGCTATATTACACTGGATACTCCAGGTGATGATTCTCTGCCCCCCTCCCCCAAGCTACAAAATACTGAACTGTAATGTATAGTAAGAATAGTTGTATAGAGAACCTAATGACTTCCAAATCAAAAACATAAAATAACCTTGGTGCATTTTCAGAAAACCTAAACTGAAAACAAAAATCTAATAAAATCGGATCCTTTCTGTGTGTAACAGCTATGTACGCGAGTAAATGTAAAAAAGGAATCGTCGGTGTGTTTGGTTAATCCTCATCCTTAGCATATCATAGTTGGAAAGGATTGAATTAGCAATAAATAGAAAACTCCCAGAAACCAATTGGAGTTTTCCTTGTGTCAGTCAGTTATGGTCATGTGATGGTGGAGGTGAGCCCAGAAGTAGCTGACTTTCAGTGTTGTTAAGCAGGGTAAGCACAGACAACAAACATGAGCTACATTAACAGAACAACTTATCAATAATTGGTTATCATTTCATTGGGCTGCTATTGTGTTAATTTTATAGAAACCCTAACAAAGATCCCAGGTCAGAGTTCTGAGTATGAAGGAAGCCATATCAGACAGACAGCACCATGTAGAAAGATTCTGTAGAGTACAGATAGCTGTAATACAGGAAACAGTATAATAATCGAGGACACATCTCTGATTGTATCTGTCAATCAGATTCAATATCATTAACAAACACAAGATTATTTTCACAAAGCCAACAGCAGGGGCAGCATCAGTGGGGCTCTGCAGCCTTGTGTGATGCTTGTGGCCTGTGAAAGGTAGTAAGTCATGTGAGATCTGTGAAAAGATTTAAAATCATCTATATTTTTGATACTTTATTTTTAGCATTTTATGTTCTGGACATGACATTGCACAGAAGACACAAGGAGGAGCCATTGATGGCTACAGGGGGCGCTCTGACTGGAAAGAGAAACTATAAACTTGAATGTAAATATTTGTATGTGGCAGGTTGTAACATTTCTTGAGTGTATAGAGAGAAATAAACTGGTTTTAATGAGGATGTTATGCTGATTTCTCCTGTTTTTTTTTTATTCTGTAGACATTTTTTCAGGCTAAACGCATGTTTATCTGCCAGAAGAAACCCATAATCACCCCATCCCTGCTGTGCTATGAGGGAAAGCAGTACTCTGGTGTTATAGATTGAGCCATTGCCCTTCTGACTTGAGCATCAACAAACTAATAACTCCAAATAAGTGCCTTCCCATAATTGCATTGGGTGAATTAAACATACATAAATGATTTTACATTTAGAAATAGATCACCAAAGCAGAAACCCATGCAAACTGCTAAATATACAAATACAATGCATATATGGGCACTGTTACCTGGTAAAGGGTTTACATCTGTCCAGCCAGTTATGAGATTTATACCAGCCTATCATATAGCACAGTCAAGTTGGCAACTGCCTTTTTTCTACTGCAATGCAATTTGGCCACCTTCCCACTCTCAAGCCTGTGACTGAACAGTGAAAAAAACATGAGAACAATGATGAGGCCATCTCTCTCCTCCTGTCAGCATGTTCCTTCTCAGCACATGAGCACTGCATTGCAACTTGATTGGTTCCTCATACTGCCCCTCATTCTAAAAGTATGCAGCTGTTACATAGTTAGTCTGGCTGAAAAAAGACAAAAGTCAATCCAGTTCAACCATAGAAAAAAAAAAAAGTTATAATCCTTTACCCACAGTTGATCCAGAGAAAGGCAAACAAAAACCCAGCAAAGCATGATCCAATTTACTCCTGCTGGAAATAAAATTCCTTCCTGATCCCCTGAGAGGTAATCAACTTCCCTGGATCAACTTTACCTTTAAAAAAAAAATATAATAATAGAAAAAAGTTTTTGCCAAGAGAAATATTTTAAAGATGCTGTGCAGAGGGTTACAGGAAGCTGATGCCACGCCACATTCAAGCACTTACGCTAGTTGAATTTAAAAATACGCTGAATACATTTTTTATTTTCATTAGTTTTTCTATATATGCCTACAATTCACATTTAAAAGGCGAGATAATATTTAAATATATAAGTTAAATCACAAGATCTTTGCAAAGGCGAACAGAAATGATCTCAGAAGGACACTATGAGATAAATATGTGTTTTTGTTTGTGTGTCTTCGGCACTTGATCTTTAACTAAAATATTTCTCTTGGCAAGAATTAAAATTTATATATATATATATATATATAAAAACAGAAACATCAGTGAAACAATTATTGTTTCACTGATGTTTGTTTTTGTTTGCACCAATGTGTATACTTTTTTGGTGTTTTGCAATAATCTTGGATGTTTTATTATAGGTTTTAGCACTGCAAAACACATTCTCTCTCTCTCTCTCCTCTCTCTCTCCTCTCTCTCCTTTCACAGAGGTTAAACAATATATACACTGATTTGGATTATATTTACTAAAGAAAAGTAACAGAACACATTTTGGCCTAAATTTATGAAGAAAGATTATTTATCATTTAAGAGAAGTGAGAAAAAGTGTTTTTTTCATCATTTTCTGTATTTTTTCGCTTATATCGCAAAAAAATAAGTAACCCAGTGTTGATTAAATACCACCAAAAAAAAAAGCTCAATTTGTCTAAACTAAAAATGTCATTTGGGTATATTGTTGCATGCACAATTTTCATTCAAAGTTTTACAGCACTGGAAGCTGAAAATTGGCCTGGGCAGGAAATGGGTGAAAGTGTCCAGTACTGAGGTGGTTAAACAATTGGGTTTTATAGGTTTTTAGAGATTTGCAAATCATTGCATTCTGTTGTTAGGTAGATTTTACGCAGTGTCAGAATGTGGACACTTATAGTGTAGCATAAATGATTATACTGATGGCATCAGCTCTGACGGAACGTGTGTGGTTGGGCCAACTGAGGTGATGTTACCACGCACGCCAAAACCAGAAGTGGCTCCATGGAACGAGACAGCGGCTGATGGTATAGATGCAGTGCATGTGTGTATGTATGAGATGCCATCTCATCTTATATTGAGTTCATCCACTGTCAAATATGCCGAAAACCACCACCCCATAGAGGGGCTTCAGAGCACAATGACAGCTGAACCTACAGGCTTGTTTGCTTTCACACTGATGTGCTGCAGTTAACCTGCACCGCGAGTGCAGCACAGTGCGTCTGCAACTTTCCTGGGTTAGCTGCACTTTACCATGCCTGCGGGTGTTTTGGTGCATTTTCAGAAAGTGTGCCAAACCCGCAGGATATAATAGAAGTCTACGGCTAAAGGCAGCAAAGCTGCAGGTACACTGCACTGCACCTGTGGTGTGGGTAAATTGCAGTGCATCAGTGTAAAAGCAGCCCTATACTATAATTCCTAGTTCACACTGACTTGAAAATCTCTTCTCTCCTGTTGCTGGCCCCACTCTGGAGACCCGCTAGCTGGGATAAGTGGTGGAGTGCAGTTGGTATCACTCCGTATGGGACAGGAGTTGGCACTACAGAGGAGGCATCGGCCTAAAAGGCTCTTGTTCCCTACTACAGCTCCAACTTTACAAGTAGTCCCTCTACATTGCACTCTGTTTGATGTCCTTGGATGGCAGGTCAGCAAGCTCAGACTGGGCACTATATCTGGTGGTGGGCCAATAGTGGGGACTTAGGATGATCAAGTAGTTTCCCGAGCGCAGTAAAATGGCTGGAAAACCACATCCGGTTTTTAGATTAACGGAGAAGCTATAGGAACAATGACTGAGAATAACCCTGAGAGTAGTAAGATGGCCACGGGAGCATCTCCAGTTTCGGATCATATCCGGTCCCAGTAACAGTAAGGGATTACATGTATGTAAATGTCTTCCTATCACCACAGCTTCTAATCACTGAGGACGCCTAGTGGGAGGGGGAGGGGAGAAAAGTGTCAGATATGGACCAGGGTGAAATAATTTCCAGCCGGTGGAGCACAGCCTGGTGTGGTAATGCCGGGTTTGGCGTTTTAATTCTTGTTACTACTATCAATGTAAGTGCAATATATACACTTTTATCCTTTGAATTTTAATAAACTGAATTACACTATGTGGCCTCCTTCCTCCATTCCTTATGTATGAGCATCCAATCACCACAATTGATGGATTGAGACAGGCCAGTGCAGCCATACAGAGGTGGACTACAAGTCACAGCAGAACCAGAACTTCTCCACCAAAGCAAGTCTGACCCTTGTTTGAGTATAAGAATCCACAGGAGTTGATGAGCGAGTGGGACCACTGGTGGGGAGCACAGACTGCTTGATTGTATGAAGAGCACTTTAACAATATGTGGATGATATAGATTTCACTTGCAAACAAGTCACAAGGGACTGTATTGAGATATATTTACATTTGTTTTGTCATTATGAGGGGCGCACATAGGGCAGCGATCTTTTATTCTTGATTGTATTCCATAGTATATTCACCCTGAGACAAGATGCAGACTGTCCTTGAGCAGGGGGATATGTTCAAGAGGCAGGCTGTGATTGGCCAGGGGGTCATGGTGGCTGAATAAACTACCCAATTCAAGCTTGCTGTGTGTCTGCACAATGTTCTGTAGATCTCAAAGACCAGCCAAAGAATGAAAATTGACCACACTTGTGCTTTGTGTGGTCAGTTTAGAACAAGGAAGAAAAGTGACTTGCAGGGTCAACCAAGTACTTCAGATGTAGATGGCCCCTGGGGGTTCACCATGGGCAGGTAAGGAATGAGGGGGTAGATGAACAGGACAGGCATTAGGAAGTAGATGTACAGGTTAGGTATCAAGAGAGGCAAGTAAGTATTTTTCATTTTTCAGAGCATAGTACCAGTAGGGACTGGCCAGAAAGGGATTATTTGAAGCAGTTGGCCAGCTTGAACATGTACTGCAATGAATGTGAACCTGTTTTATGCAGGTTTGCTAGAAAAGGTGCATAGCAGAGAGCAGAGGGTTTATTTAGAATTCTCACTAAAACTGGGAAGTGTCCCCAAAATACAATGTCCTGTGGTAAGAATACTGTATGATACATTGTGAACTTTCAAGGTTGAAGAGTTCATATGATGATAGAAAAGGAGAAAATAGAATACGACAATGTTACAGAGCTGAATGGTGTATGAATCCCAATGCATTACGAGTCACTCTGTAACGGAAATGTGAACCACCCAGTTGCATTCCTTCTGCTTTGCTGGACACTTTCACTTTCTTTTTCTGCTCTCAGCAATGGCGTCTGCTAATCTAAGAGCAGAGCTGGAATGTCCTATCTGTCTGAACATTTATACAGATCCTGTAATGCTGGGATGTGGACACAACTACTGCCGGGGCTGTATTGATCGTGTGCTGGATACCCAGGAAGGGTCTGGAGGTTATTCCTGTCCTGAATGCAGAGAGAAGTTCCAGGAGCGGCCTGCACTGCAGAAAAACAGGAAACTACGTAACATAGTGGAGAATTTCCTATCCACACAACCAGAGCCAGAGGAGTCCGGAGTCTTCTGTACGTACTGTATTCACGCTCCTGTACCTGCTGTTAAATCCTGTCTGCACTGTGAAGCTTCTCTGTGTATTAACCACCTGAAAGTTCACAGCAAGTCACCTGAACACATCTTATCTGATCCCACCACTTCCCTGCAGAACAGAAAATGCCCTGTTCACAAAGAAGTTTTTAAATACTACTGCACTGAGGACTTTGCCTGTGTTTGTGTCTCCTGCTGTCTAATTGGAGAACACAAAGGACACAGTAAGGTGTCACTGGATGAGGCCTCTGACACTGAAAAGAATAAGTTAAGAAATGCTAAAGCAAAGCTTCTGATAAAAGGAGAGGAGACAGAGAAAAGAATTAAAAGTCTTCTGAAACTCAGGAGAAAGGTAGAAAAGAAAGCAGCTGGGGACACTGAGAAGTTCACTGCCCTATTCACAGAGCTTAGAAGACAGCTGGAAGACCTGGAGAAGAAAGTCCTGAGTGAGATATCTAGGAAGGCAGAACGGACCTCATGCTCATTTAATGATCTGATCCAACAGCTGGAAATAAAGAAGGATGAGCTGTCCAGAAAGATGCGTCACATTGAGGAGTTGTGTAACATGACAGATTCATTGACCGTCCTACAGGAAGCAGACACAGGTGACTTGTGTAATTCTGAGGATGGAGATAATGAGGACAGAGAGAGACATGATCAACTCCTCCATGATGGAGGGGATCAGCAAGTGGCTGAGATCTCACACACATTACACACATTATCTGATATAATCACAGTGATAAATAAAGGGATCTATATAAAGGAGCCTACAGAAATCTTACTGGATGTAGACACAGCTCATAATCGGCTACAAATATCCGATGACAGAAAAACTGCATCCGGGTCACCAAAGCAGAATATTCCAGAAACACCAGCAAGATTCAAGGATCACGCTCAGGTGATGAGTAGCAGGAGCTTCTGTACAGGGAGACATTATTGGGAGGTGGATGTTGGTAGATCATATTGCTGGAGAGTTGGGATGTGTTACCCCAGTATAGACAGGAGAGAACTGAAGTCAAAGATTGGATACAATAAAAAGTCTTGGGGTTTGGAGAGGGATAATGATCATTATTCAGTGATGCATGACGGTAATAAGATCAGTTTACCAGACAGCATCTCCAGTAAAAGAGTTCGGATATATTTGGATTATGAGGCTGGGCAGATCTCCTTTTATAGTCTGAGTCACCCAATCCTACACCTCTACACCTTCACTGCTACCTTCACTGCGCCCCTCCATGCTGTGCTGGGTATGTGGGATCGAGGTTTTTGCATTGTAAATCCACGTTCTGGGAGAATTAGATTGATGTGACATATAAACATCTGCCTTGAGAACAGTGGTTTTGCAGAAGGGTATTAGTAAAATACTCAACCAGAAGGACTGCGCTCAGTGTCCTACAGGGCTTTCTATTATTCATTTATGAAAGAGTTTTTTATTTGCCCCATACGGATTGTCATAATTGGCAAGTACTCTATCTATCTATCTATCTATCTATCTATCTATCTATCTATCTATCTATCTATCTATCCCCTTAGAATTTGCTGCGTTTTGGGTTCCCCTAAAGTTCTGCACAGCCAGGTAATATGCATTTTCTTCCACACTTTGCATACTGGAATCAGTAAACAGTCCTTGAGTTTGGTTTTGTGTCAAAGTGTTACTAAACCCACAACAGTAAAATCAGTCTGTATATGCAGTAAAGCATGCTTGTTATATACTCACTGTGGAACCTAAGGGGTTAATCCTCTGCATTGTGTAAAAATGCTGTTTCATCCTGACATCTCTGATCCTCCCCTTCTTCCAGTTCCCCCCTCATCTCCTAATAAGACATATCACGTGAAGTCGCCCTGCACATGCTCAGTTTGGTGTGTATTGCTAGAGAGATTTCTTTTTCCCCCTTGGAAGAGTGCATGTGATCAGCATAGGGCCAATCAGCACTGTGCAAACAGATTTCAGGGGTTCTGCATCCTCCTAGAGCAGAATGAAAAATCCTCCTACAAGCATTAACATGTGCTTGACTGGACACTGGCAGTCATAAGACTGTTATATACTGCTGATGAGAAAAGGTATTTAGCAGTTCATATTTACTAAAATAATTGCACTTCCATTTTATGTCTACTGTGGGAGACCAGATACAGTGAATGCAGCATCCTGGGTTTAGTAACACCTTAAGGAGTTAACAACTTGGAGTCTAGGGGTATATGGGATGCCCAAGGAAACTGTAAACTTGAGGAAAACTTAGAGCAGCTATGTACAAAAATGTGGACAAAAATAGTCTCTCCTCTAAGAGCATCCAAAGTTCTTTGGTGTACCTCCTCAGACCCCAGATGATTCCTCCTTTTCATCCAGATGCCTGAGGGTATCCCTGGGCAAGGGGGGGCAGAAACTGCCAATTTAGTACAGCAGCCCCAGATGAGAATCTAGCTTGGTTTTCCACCTGACTGCCCTCTTGCCTTGTCCGGCCCAGAAGGTGTAATGTAGGTAGTCCCATTCCCAGGCTCTACAATTCAGCCTCTCACTCCATCTTCCACCTGACACTGCTCCCCCTGCTGATCAGGCTCCCTCACACTTAATGGCTCTCCTGGCTCCATACCAAGCCTCCTGCTTGGGGATTGGCTAAAATCCCTTAAGTATGCAGATCAGCCCCTCCTTACCCCCACCAACTGCCTTATAGAAACTTCTCAAGCTCAAGGGCAGGGGGAGGTATCAGGGAACTGGGCTGCAGAGTCCTCAGCCCTGACTCAAAGTAACCTGGCTGATGCATCCCAGGCTGACTCATCCCAGGGTGCTATTCAGCCTCTGCCTAAAAATCTTACTAGCTCCCCCTAGCTAAACCTGAGGGGCGCTACATTATCTATCTATCTATCTATCTATCTATCTATCTATCTATCTATCTATCTATCTATCTATCTATCTATCCTCAAAACTTTGTATTCTATAATAGTGGGAACAGGATAGAATTTCTGTTAGATTCTTATGCTTTCTGTGTTCCTGTTGGGGAAATTTCCCCTCACTTCTTCACCACAGAAGTAGGAGGAAATCTCCTCAAGGTGAGAGTAAATCCCATTTTTGACAGTTGTCACAGATGTCTCTTTTGGGTGATTTCCCCTCATTTTCTGTGTTGGTGAAACCTCTAACACTTAGGGCCAAATGGGCCTCCAAACCTCTGCCCAGACCAATCTTGGGGGATACCTTGTGAACACAAGCCTTATACCCTATCTTGGTGTAACTATAGGCTTACAAAGCTTTAACATAGAGACGTGAGGCTCCAACTTAGCCATGTCATGTCATTTCAAGTCTTGTTAGACTGAAAATAACTCACTTTAAAAAAAAAAAAAATAAGGATCCTAATGCCTGGTACACACTATCAGTTTTTTTTTCATTCAACCCAGCAGGCTGAATGGAAAAAAAAAGAGCTCGGGAGGAGGTCACTGTCCTAACTATGCATTGTTACCACAGCACTCTCCCCACCCTGCTATTGTGCCCTGGTCTCTGGCACTCTGGTCTGCGTTCGCAGCCATTTGCCATTCGGCCACCTTCTCTTGGACAGGCTGATGTACACGCATGTCAGCTGGTTCCTGTTGAACGGGCTGATACTGGCCAATATTCGGCCTTAACGGTATTAAACCCAAAAAACAAAAAATGTAAAATATTGCAGCTTACCAATCATTAGATGTGATGGATGCATTTTGTTTTTTTGTTATTTTTTTATAGGCTTTTTCCTCTTTTCCTCATCTGGTGATCCCACCAGTAACACACTTTCTGTCCTAGAGTACCTACACTCTGGATGAAGAAGCAACAGATATATCTTAGGATAGCAGCATTGTCAGTCTGGGGGAAGGGTAGTGTTAGATGTACTAGCATGTTTAAATACAATAACAAATTGAAGCTGCATTCTAGCTAACACTTTATAAGCAGTTACAGCAACAGTTTTTCTCCTTTTGGGATAAAGGTTTACATAAATAAATTAAAACCTGATCCTTGTAAGCACCCATGTCAGTGTTAAATGGTTTGTCTCAACTGCCACATCTGCAAAACAGCTTGTTGTGTTGTAAAACAACAGACCTACTGGGCAGATCATCAGGTGGAAATAAAAGAAAGAAAACAATTGCAGCAATCACATCTAAGACTAGGTAAGCTGCAGTATAAAAAAATGTTTGCTTTTGGGTTTAATACCGCTAAATTGAGTATTTTATCTGATCAGCCAGTCCAGTTAGCTGGACTCCTCTAAGGACTGTAATGGGGACCACCTACAGTATAAAATCCACACTACCAGGAGATCTGAAGAAGGCGAGGTGTTCTCTGGTCCCCACACTGACTAGACTTCACTGCTTTTTATCCATGTGAGTGATTATTATATAAAGCATTTTATTGCTCCACCATTGGAACTGAAAATCTGTATTGTGTAACGTGTAATAAAGTTCTTTAAATCAGATTGTCAAGTCTGTGTCATTCAGTTTTAAAGGTGCCTTCAGGGTATTTGTGGTCAATGGCTAATGGTGGTGTAACAGGTCAGACAAAACTGTCATTGCTTTCTGATGCAGCCAATCAGGGGAGATTACAGAGCAATACAACAACACCAAGAGGCTGCATCTAGGGTTACCACATGGGCAGTAAAAATGAGACTTGCTGCCAATGTTAACAATAAAGAAACCTTAAGGACAGTATTTTTCCCTTTTCCCAGAAAATGTGGCAACCCATCTGAGCATTGTGCAATCATAACTAGATTCCTAGGTTTGCAGCAGTAAAGGGTTACTGGGGTTCAGACCTCTGAGGAGGTTAGGTAACCCATATAAAATGTTTCTAATCCTTTCAGTTATGTTTTCCCCATACAAGCATTGCCCGGTCATGTCTGCAGATGCCCCATAGACATGAGATAACCTCCCAATCTATGTTAGGTTAAAGGGCAATATATACATGATAGAACAGTCACTCAGTCCAGATATTGTTTAGACAAATCAGGTGACAACAAACTGCCCAGGGCCTGTCTTATATTGCATGCCTTCCTTCTATGTTCAATATGGAGACTAAAGACATTAAAGGATAAGTTCACCTTTTTCTATAAAATAATACATGCACATTGTTTTGCAGGTAAAAAAATGTGCATT